GCTACTAAGATAGTTCCTTCAAAGCCTCAGCTTTGTGCAATACTTTGGCCATTCAGGGTTGGATATTCTTTGGTGCTTCTCTTTTTTTCCTCCTATTCTTTGGCCTTTTCAGAAGGGCACTTGTTAAGATATTTGGTCATTCATTTGATATTTTATTGATGAGTGTATATAATCTGGCACCACCATTTGATCTCATGCAATGTGTTTGCAGTTGCATCCTAACTTGTCTTTTACTGGAGTTGCACTTTGTCAGAGCCTAGAACACCTCTTTTAAGAGGTGGTTTTATGCTGCATCCTAACTTGTCTTTTACTGGAGTCGCACTTTGTCAGAGCCTAGAACACCTCTTTTAAGAGGTGGTTTTATGTTTCTTTGCTTGCGATTTAGTTCTTTGTAGACCATAAATGTGGCATTTTTGAGCAAATATATTATGCAAATTCATTTCGCATCTTTTTTACTTGATTACATATTAATGGAATGGGTATTCAAGCAAACCAACGGGATCATGGATTTGGGCATGTGCGACAGTCAAGAGGAATAGGAGTTGCCTTTTGTAGAGTGTACGTCTTTCCTTTTGGTCTTGTCTTCATTGGAATGTGGACTGCTTTTAGTAGTGTCCTGTGCTTCTTGGCTGACCATTCTTCTCGGATATTGGGTCTGTATATTGTCAGCTTGCTCTTGAGGCTTGGGAGAATGGGGATGCTCTTAAGAGGTGTCTGGTACTTCCTGGCTTATGGTTTATTTTTGTTAGATTTTATCAGCTATGATTCGTGCAAAAAGTTTTGTGCAGCAATGATTGTCTCTTAATGGAGTCCTAGGGTTTATAGAAGGAGGGCAGGCTGCTGATTGCTTTAAGAGGGAGTAGGAATGTGGTATGCAGATTGATGTCTTTGGATGCAGTGAAGTATCATTGGACCGTAGAGCAGCACTTGCTGACACATAAACTGAGTATGAGTTTGATCTTCATTGATGGAACTGTTCTTTGAGGGGTCGTGAGGTTTGATTTTGTCGTTTACATAATATCTTATTTCCAATTTGTATCGAAGTTCTATTCATTGATCTCGTTTTAGCCGAGGTTTACTCATCTTCAGGTTGACGGGATTGATTTGTCAGCTAAAATGGATCGGATGACTTGCTTTCATTGTCTTTGGATTTCAGCATTTAGATCTTAACTAGCTTATCTTCTATGTCTTGCTCAATTTTTCCAGAATATGGGCTGAGGGTTGATTCTTCCTTTAATTTAATTGCTTCTCTCAAAATTTCTTCTCATATATATAAATTTTTCTCATGTACAGGTGCTAATATTCATATGTACCTTTTTGGATTTTATAGTGTTGGAGGTGGTGGTTTGTGGTCTGCTAAAGGGTTTGGCCTTTGTCTTAAACATAGTGACCTGTTGGCATCCTTTTGTTCAAGTGCCTGATTTGCTTTTGCTGTTGCTTTTGTTGTGGCATGTTACTTTTTTTTCTTTCTGGCAGGCTAAAGTTGCTTAAGTTTGTGATGGATCAGTATGTTGGATACTTGAAATTTCTGGGCAGAGTAGTCCATTGTAGAAGGTTGGGTGTTTTTGCTTGAAGAGTGCTCATCCGTTTAGGTTACACATGGGGTTGTTTGACAAGTAAACGATCTGGCATAATTATATGGGTCGTGTTTTATGCAGAAGCAGTCTCATTCTTTGAGGGCTTCGTCTCAGATTCAAGTTTATGCACAGAGCTGATAGAACTGTTTTTTAAACTGCTGATGGAAATAGATGTGGTATGAAGTGTGTTGTTTCCCTTACCTGTCTTCTTAGTTCCGTCAGCTTATACTTTTTTCTATAACTGTTCCTTTAAATAGCTTTTGTGTTCATTTGGGTGGCTTGATAGGATCTGTCGTTCTTTTCTTCATTTGGTGCTTCTTATGCGTAGTCCAACTTATTGAACATTGCAATTTAACTTTTTAAAAGCATTTGAGTATTAATTAAATTGTTATTTGTTGGTATCAAATTAGACATTTTGAACCTTGGTGTGTTTTTCATATGAATAATACTAGTCTTACCACATTTTTTATACCACATTTTCATACCACATGATGTGGCAGCTGATGTGTACATATCACATCATGTAAAATACTAGTTTTTGTTTTTCTAATTTTATTTATTAAAATACACTTCATTCATTTAATTGATGTGGCATATGATATGGACATGCCACATCATGTGGTATATAAATGTGGGATAAAAATTTGGTAAGTGTAGCATTACTCTTTTCATATTTATGTCCTTATTAGTTGCTGGGTGTGTCTTTTATTGGTTCAATAATGCTGTGGTCGAGCGTCATTCGACTATTTTGAGCTGGTTACAAAGAGATGATAGGGATGAGAGATTACATTTAATGTAATACTTATCTCTAATTTATGACTAAGTAATGAACTTACAAATAGAACATGTAATGTATTGAAAGAATGTAGTTCTGGTTTGTCATTTTGGAATGAGCCCTTTACATAGATTGCTTATTCTGGGAGAGAATTTTTGTCTTTCTTTTGTTAAAAGGAGATTTCTAAACTATGCAACATTTCTCTTGTAGTTTTTCTTTTTGGATATTTGAAGTATATTTGTTATATCGAAGTTGCTTGGTTTTTGCATATAGGGTCGGAGTTTTTGGAGTTCTTTGGACATTTGAACTATGACATTGTTCTGTTGTTTTATCAATTGTATAATGTCAACTTCTTGGTAGCTTTTTCTCTTTTAGATTTGTTTGGCTTTTAGTATGATGGTTATGTTATGTGCATTGCTTTGTTTTTAGCTGCTGTCTGTTGTGCATGTTTGTGTGTAGTTAGGTTTTAAGGGATGTAGCTCAAAATGGTAGAGCCTCTCAGCTTGTAACCTGTATGAACAAGTTACAAGACTTACGAGGAGATCAAGGTTCAAATCCTTGCGTCCCTGCACATTAACATATTTGATAGTTTATGACCTGCCTGTGTATGGATTGAAAGAATCTAAACCCTTGCCTGTGTATCTGTGGTTGCTGTTGATGTGCGGATGCTGTTGGTAGCTGACTAAAATGGTGGTTTGGATGATCTATGGACTTGAGAACCTGAATTGGCTGATTTTCCGGTTTACCACAAGATGTGGTTTATTATGTAAAAAGAGGTGCAAATATTTGCCTTTCCTAGTGCTCAAACCTAAACCACCTTTCACGTTTCACTTACACCAACACACTAACAGATCTTTGTTGATATTCTTTCAAAATAATATATTAATATGCCATAAAACTTCTAGATTTTTAAGTTTTTGTGTTGACTTTAGCGTTTCTTTTTTTAAGGAATTGATGTAACTTGAATTTTAAATGTTGAATTTCATGTTGTAGTGTTGTTTTTTAAAATTTATTTATGTCTATCTAGAACATATTTAATGGTATTTTCTATCGGATTGAATTTTATATGATTATCTTTGTGATTATTATATTTTCAAAAAAATCGATCATCCAATTCAATCCAATGTATTGAATTGTAAAATCTCAAATCCAATAAAAAATTGGATTAGATTGATAAAAAATTGGATTAGATTGATAAAAATTTATTGATTTTCGAACAGATGTAAACCCTTATTTAAGAGACAAAGTTTCGATCTAATAAAGAATTATATAGAAAACAAAATAAAAACAATTTTCAGTTAAAATACAGTTATTTCACCTCCTGAAACCATAGTCCATTTTTCATTTGTTGGATTTTTTATTATAATAATTTCACCATCCATTTTTTGTTCGTTGAGTTTTTTATTATAATAATTTCACCAATATTTTCGTGGATACATCTATGAAGTTCATGATTTGTTATAAAGGAAGTCTAGCTATTCATTAGAACCTTATTTCTAAATAATGATATTCAAGCTAAGCTCCTCTTGGATTGTAAATAAAATGAAGCTAGTGTTTAGAGCATTTTCACTTACCCAGGCTAATGCCTGGGTAAGCTGACCTAATGCTAATGTCATTGTGACGTCAACAGTCAAGGGCAACTACTATTCACATAAGATATGAGGAGAAGAATTTGTATAGAATTTTGGTGTGGGAAATGAAGAATATGGCTAGGTATTTATAAAAAAATTAAAAAAAATTTGAAAATTATGGTTTTTTAAAATTATTTTTTTGTTATTTAAATGGCTGTTGACGTCACAATGACATTAGCATTAGGTCAGCTTACCCAGGCAGTAGCCCAAGCAAGTCTTGTCTTTGGGCTTATCTAGCTCTTACCTTGGCAATATTTGGGCGTTGAAAATGAGATTGCGGGCCTAGGGGGCCTTTTGACCATCCTAGGGGAAACAGTGAAAATGCTCTTGTGGGAGGATGAGGGGGCCTCCCGGACCTACCCCCCAACCTAGAGTAGCTAGAAGGGAAGTAAAATTAATCCTTGTTCTACTAAATGAGCCACGTCAAATAAGATTGAGAAATTATGAAATTTTAGAAACAAAGCTTGAGAAATTATGGAATTTTAGAAACAATAATGAGTGGCAAGGTGGTAATATAAAATTGGTGAAATAATGGGACAAGTGGGTGTATTCACCCATTGTTTAGTTTTTATTTTGTTTATTATTTTTTATTTTATTTTTTGGTACAGAAGGAGGCTAAAGCCCCAAACCAAAAAGAAACTAGATGGGGTCTAGCAACACCTCGAACATCAGCAACTAACATAGCACTAAGAAAAGCTGGAGCCTCCAAAAAGGCCAGGACCAAAATCATAATTATTCCCAGTAAGAGCATCTGTAGCACAATTTTGTTCATGGAAAATATGCTTCACAGAGCAACACCAATCCTCATGAATCTTCATTTTGCAACAATTGATAATACTAGAGAGGGTGTGTTGACACAATAGGACTTTTTAACAAAGCCACATCATAAGTAGCATCACACTTAATCTCCACCTTGCGAAAACCAGCATCTCAAGCCATATTAAGCCCCCAAAAAAGCCCTCATAACTCAGCCTCAATGATGGAACTATAGCCTAGATTCACAGAGAAGCCCTTGATTCAACTCCCACAAAAGTCTCTTAACAAACCCCCAACCCCAATATAACCAGGGGAATTAATTCTGCTACCATCAATGTTGATTTTACAAACACCAAGAAGAGGGGCCATCCAATGGAGATGAACAACATTACGCTCAGGGAGAATAACCATTAGATTACAAGCTGAAAACCACTCCAAAACACATTGATAAATCAACAGATGAGGCTCAGCAGGCAAAAGAAAATTATGATAAAAAACCACTTTACATCTCCATTTCCATATAAACCAAAGAAAAATAGCAAAAACCAAATACCATGGCAAGCCATGGATAACAAACCTCTTCAATTTCAAGTTATGCAAAAGCCAATCATCATAATCATTCATCAACTGACCAGATTCCACTCTCCCAAACCCAAGTCTATTCCAAATAGCAAGAGTGGCAGTACAATCCTTATAGAGATGAGCAGAAGATTCCAAAGGACAATCACATCTAGGACAAACAGCAGCATTAGTGAGCTTTCTCATCAATCTTTGAGCGTTCGTAAGTAACTTCTTATGACATAGAACCCAGAGGAAGGTCTTAACCTTCGGCGGAACATGAAGCTTCCAAATAAAATTCCATTTCCAATTAGCACTACCCTTATCCATATAAAAGGTACTATAGGCAATTTTTACAAAAAATTGGCCATTAAAGGTGGGCTGCCAAATCATTTATCCTCCCCACTGCCATTGTACCCAGCATGAGTACTAAGAATCAAGTTGACAATATTCATAGGCAGGCATTCCACTAAGCAGTTGAAATCCCAAATGCCATCCTCCCAAAAGTCACTAACATTTAATTGAAGCATGTCCTCAGATAAATCAATTAGAGCAAATTGTTGCAAAGGACCACAACTAAGCCATCTATCAGTCCAGAACAAGATATCATCCCCAGACCCTACACGCCATTTAATACTTGTAGAAAGAACTTGAGCAACATATAAAATACCCCTCCAAACATTAGAGTTACTATGGAACTGTAGATCTTTAGCAGCAAGGATATCACAATGCCTTCGATACTTTGCATTAAACACTTGTGCCCAAATACCTTGCTCACGTTGTAGTAAACGCCAACCAGTTTTAGCAAGAAGAGCTTGATTCATCCAAGCAGAATTCTTAATACCCAAACCACCAACAAATTTAAGCTTACAAACAGTGTCCCAATTAACCAAGTGAATCTTCGCTTAATCAGTTGTATCCCGCCATAAAAAATTTATATTTAACTGATCAAGTTTCTTACGGACAGAAACATGCAATTTAGCAGCTTGCATGGAATAAATAGAGATAGCAGAAGTGACAGATTGCAAAAGGGTCAAACAACCAGCCATAGAGAGAGTATGGCTTTTCTAAGAAGAAAACCTCCTTTGGACTTTAACAATAATCTCTTGATAAGTAACTTTAGTGACTCGTGTATGAATAAGAGGAACACCAAGATACTTACCAAGACAAGTAGTGAGAGGGGAACCACATATAGTTGCAGTAGAATAAGCTAACTCAGAAGAAGTATTTGGAGAAACACATCATAGATTTCTCAAAACTCACATTCTGACTAGAGAGACTACAAAAACCATCTAAACATTTCTTCATAATAATAGCCTGATTGACTGAAGCTTTTCCAAAAAGAATCAAATCATCAACAAAAAAGAGATAAGAGATAAAATGGCCTCTTTGGTAGATCTGCACCTACTTCCAAGCCTTGTCTTAAACAGACTGTTGAATAATATGAAAAAGCTTCTCCATACACAAACAAAGAGATAGGGCGGAAAAGGGTCCCTTTGCTGAATGCCACACTTAGGAGAGAAAGTATCAGTTAATACACCATTGAGAATCGCCTTATATTGCACAGAGTTAATACAGTGCATTAAAAGCTCAAGAATTCTAGGACGAATCCCAACCTCCCAAAGCACTTCTCTAATGAAATCCCAACTTAACCGATCTCAAGCGTTGGATAAATCAATTTTCCAAGCAATAAAACCTTTCCCTCCTTTATAAATTTTAAACTTATGCAACATTTCTTAAGCCACAACAATATTATCAACAATTTGTCTCCCTGGGACAAAGCTCACTTGATTAGGACTGACCAAACTAGTCATACAAGGCCGAAGCTGGGCAACAAGAATCTTATAAATCACTTTATAGAGAGTGTTGTAAAGACTAATGGGGCGAAGCTGAGTCATGGAAATAGGTCTCTCAACTTTAGGCACCAATGCAATCAACGTCTTATTAATATTCTCAGGAAGAGTAGCAGTTAAAAAACAATCCTTCACCAAAGAAATAATATCAGCAGAGCACATCCCTCAACATTTCTGATAAAAGAGGGTAGGAAATCCATCATGTCCAGGAATTTTTAATCCCTCAATAGCAAACATACTATTTTTAACTTCATCATCAGTAACCTTACAACTTAAACCTTCTAAATCAGTATCAGCCAACCTTGGAAAAATATTAGGGAGCAACCTATAGTCGTCAACCAAAACAGATTCACCAAACAACCCTTGGAAATAATTGACAATAGTCAGTTTCATTCTAATCTTATCAGTGATCCAAATTCCAACCTTATTTTTCAAACCTTTAAGTTTATTCATCCTCCTCCTTATGGCAGTAGACAAGTGAAAAAAACGGGTGTTTCTATCCCCTTCCTTCAACCAGTATTTCTAGACTTCTATAACTAGAACAACTCTTCCTGCTCAAGGACCAAATTATACTCAGTAGATAACTCATTCTCAAGCTTACTAAGATAAGAATTATAATTTAAACATAACTTCCCTTGAATGCATGCAAGTCTAGCCAATAGTCTTCGTTTCTTTCGAAAAAGACAACCAAAAACCTACCTATTCCAAGAAACAAGATGGGACACAAGCCCAGCAGATTTAAGAACCGCATTACCATTATTAGACTGCCAAAGATCAGTAATAAACTCAGAAAACTCAGGTGGGTGAGCCACATGGCTTGTAGGACAGGGAGATGAGCAGAAGACAATTTAACCATGATAGGACAGTGATATAAATTCACCCTAGGCAAGTGAGAAAGATGCGCCTTAGGAAACAAAAATCTCCCCGCAATATTACTCAAAACCCTATCAAGCCTTTTCCAAACGATACCCTCCGCATTCCTTTTATTACACCACGTAAACTTGGCTCCAGAGAAACCTAAATCAATGAGCTAATTACGATCAATCCAATCAATAAAATTCTATCCACCGGAATCAAAGTTGCCACCAGACTTTTCATCAGCACAAACAATGTCATTAAAGTCCCCTAAAATCAACCAAGACAGCTTAGAAGTCTGAGCAAGACCATCGAAATAAGCCGAAAAAGACTCATGAATACCTGGACACACATACACCGTAGTGAGCAACCACCAATTAGTCCCCAATTGCACTAGAGCAGTAATCGATTGACTAGAATGAGCAATGATTTGAATAGAGATAGAGTTGTCATTCCACAACAACCAAACACCCCCAGAAAAACCAATGGCATCAATAATATGATAATTAGAAAAACCCAAACTCTTAGCAATTTGCAAAGCTCTAGTACCACCAATTCTAGGCTCAAGAATGGCTAGATTATCAATAGCATAAGCCTTTTTTAAATCTTTAATAGTACGAGCACAACTTTCCTTGCCATCACCCTTAACATTCCATGAGACAATAATCATTAAATATATATATATATATAAAAGGATAGGGAAAAACTTAGGATAAACCTAATTATGCAATTGCTCAGCCTCACCACTAGTGGAGGCAACTTGTTCAATGACAATAGCCATACCAATACCAAACTTTGTATCACCTTGATCAACAAAATCACCATGGTGATCCATATGGTCAGAAGTTAAGCTAACACCAGAAAAGAAAGCTTCATTGAGCACCCTTTGAATAGTGTCAGGGGATTCATGACCATGAAGCAGCCTATCTTTCCTTAGAAAAGACTCGGAAAAGAAAGGCCCCTCCATATTGAAAGAAAACTTCCTAAAAACATCATCCTGCACAGTAACCCCACAAACTTGCATTCTCACAGCATTAAGAGCTTTAGAGCTATTAAAAGTACTCCCGACTCTTTTCTTCCCAACCCTTCGAGCACCAAAATCAGGCTTAACAACAATTCCTAAACCTAAGTAGAAACATTACGCACTGCGCCAGCTTGTTCCCCATAAGACTTAGACATAGGGAGGCACGCTTATGAGCTTGAGCAGCCAGTTTAGAAGCCTTCTTGAAACCAAAAGGACGATGAGTGAAACTCGCATCCTCATCGTCCCTACCATCACTATCCCTCAAAATATTAAATCTAGATCCAAATTGGCTAGCGGCAATCTTCACTCCACTAGCCTTATCAGCCTTCTTGGTGGAAGAGAACAACTGCCCTTGTTCATGTGGAACCTTCTTTATGAAATTTTTAGGTTTCATCAGCATCCATTGACCATACATCTTAGCTGGAATCTCAGCAACAAAATTAGCAGGATTAACAACAACATCCTCCTCATTTGGAGCGGGAGGAGTATCTTCATATTCTTAGAAACTTCTTCCTCAGAATACTGCTTTTGCATAATCTCCACAATAACATGGCATGTATCTCTACCATGCCCAAAACAACCACATTCAAAGCAAACTAAATGAATCCCTTCATAAACAACCCCATAAGTACGTCCTTTAACTTCAATAAAGAAGATAAGAGGCTTGGATAAATCAAGCTCAACACACAACCTAGCAAACTTACCTCGAGCTTGACCAATAGTATGCGCATCCACCTTAACGGTAGTATCAATGAAATTTCCAATTTTCATCATAACATCAGTATGAAAATACCAACCCATTGATTCGAATCCAAACTGTCATGTGAGTAACCTTATCTTCATTAGCATTAAACCCAGGTTTCCAATTTTGAGTCACAATATATTGCCCAGTAATTTGCCAAGGACCGCCAATGAGCATACCTCTTATCTTCCTCAAGAAGAAATTTAACAATGAAATAATTGTTTTCCATATCTATTAAACTCATTGGACCCTTCAACTCCCAGCGTTGAAGCAAATGATCATGCAAGAAAGCATACAACAGAGAGCGACCCATTAGCTTGATAATCACAATAGTCCTCCAAGGCCTGTATAAGCAATCCTTAACCCTTTTAGAAAATTCAATGGATGGAATAGCCCCATGCTTGATTACGACATTGTCATCACTGATCTCAAACTTATCCTCAGCCATCCTAAAATCACCAAAGACTTTATCTTTGAAGCTCATTGAAATTGGGAGCAAAGAAGGAGGAAGCTCATCAGAATCCAATCCACTTACATCCAACATCTCCCGAGTACGAGCACACTTCTTTCCAACAACCAGCCCCTCTTTCGAGCCACCACCAGCATCGAACACAAACTCAGATATCCTATCCACCACCATGGACGGTGGAACGGTAATAGCACAACAAAGAGCAAGAAGATCGTGAAATCCCTAGAAAAAAACCAAGCGCATGCAGCGCGTTCAATTCTTGTGCCGCTTTATTTTGTTTGTTCTTTGATACAAGCTATACTTGAGAAAACTTGGAACACATAACTTCATGTGTAGGTGTAGGTGTAGTAATTGTTTAGTCTTTTTTCATATAAACTCACCAACTTTTTGGTTGAGTCGTTTTTATTATTATCTTGCACTACTTTTTCAAGAAAAGAAAACAATCATTTAAAGAATGGATGTTTAAATTGAATTGAATCAGATGCAAGAATAGATAAAACTAACCAAAATAAAAGATATTATCAACATTTTCTTTTGGTACAAAATCTAACATGTTAAATCAAAGTCAGTTCCTAATTACGAAATCAGATTAATTGATTGCAAAATCTTTGAGTTTTGTTAACAAATTTCGACCGTTTCACAAATAATTAATTTTATATAATTTCGTTTCGACCCGTACCCGATAATTTCCGGAGCCTCTAAGTCCAAACTCGAAACTTCCGTACGCCAGCTTGACCAGAGAACAAGTGCACAATGCACGTATATTTTCGCATTTTCGTCGTGGACCTCTTTTTATCTTTCCATGTCTTTTTCATCCCAGAGTCTTTTATATTTACCATTAAATCACACCAGGCTCCGATTGAGACCCACAGAGTGTTTCACCGGCAATGGCGAAATCGAGCGCAGACGACCAGGAGCTGAGGCGAGCCTGCGAGGCCGCCATCGAAGGGACCAAGCAGAGCGTCGTGATGTCGATCCGTGTGGCCAAGAGCCGAGGGATCTGGGGAAAAACGCACAAGCTAGGCCGTGACATGGCGAAACCTAGGGTTCTCGCTCTTTCCGGTACGCAATCGTTTCTCTATTTCCGCATATCGTTTTCACTTTGAAGATTCTATCTCCGACCTGAGATGACTGGTTAGAGAAGTGCGTGCGTGGCATCTGGACTGAATTGTACGCGTTTTCTGAAATTTAGAAGAGAAATTTAGCTTTATTTACAAGGGCATTTTGTTGAAAATCACAGTGCTGACTTCATTTTAACTTGTCGAATTGTTAGGGGTTTTCTCACTGTTTTGGAATGATTATAATATGACCGAATTAATATAGATAATCACGATGCGGTTGGATAGCAATGTGGTTGGGTGCTCAGACTGGAAAATTTTAAGAAATATGTATTTGCCTTGGCCGGGACTACTATGATCGATGGATATGTGTAATTCACGAGGGTGCCCAAGATTAAAAGAATGGTGTTAAATCCTTTAAGCTCCATAAATTCCCAATAATATTGATTTGCTTCAAGACATAAGTTGGTCAATCTTACCGAGAACAATATCGTTTTTGGAACTTGCAGAATCATTTATATCCACTTTTGACAGGAGAGTAACCAGAACTAGATTATCTACTATACTGTTTTGAACAATCATGGTAAATTGTCATAAGAAGACTTTGAAGCATTGTTTTTGCACATATCTTCAGATTGGGAGGGCAATTTTAGTTAAATCATTAAACAGAACTGTACAAGACATGTCAAGTATCTTAGATGGCAGTGGCACAGTAACGACTTTATCAGTAAGGTTAATTTGGAATTGTGTGCTAAATTCTAGAGGTTTGTCTACATATTTTGTATAGCTTCACTACAATAACATGAAGAGCCTGTTACTGTATCACTATGGTAGTCCGTACTACTAACTGAGGCCACCCTTTCTATTTGTTCTATAAGCTTCTATAATACTTGGTTGCACTCTAGATTGGCTGAGAGTGATCCGATATCAAATGAAGGGGAATAAAAGACTTGTCTTTTGAAGCATTAGGTCAGAGGGTGTGTACACGTATGCATAACTATAAATACCCACACAAGTATAAATATTCAATTGGATTGATCAGTGTAAGCACTTAGTGATACTTAATTTGTATGTTACTGATGGCGACTGCCTTGTGTGGTTTGTGCAGTAAAATCCAAAGGCCAGAAGACTAAAGCCTTTCTTCGAGTCTTAAAATATTCCACTGGAGGAGTCCTTGAGGTAAAGTCCAGTTTGTTTATTCTTATTTTTCTATAGAATTAAGATTCTTTGATTTTAGGGAAAAAAAATTACAAATTGGCAGTTGGTTTACAATTTGAAATGTAGTAGTTCTAGCTTTCATTTCCAGGCCTGCTGTGTGTAACGGTGCTTAGTGTTATTGTCTCTTGGATGTGTATGTGTAATGGTGTATGTGGCTTATCATTTATCGTCTCATTTAATTCATGAGGACTATCTGATAAAGCTTTATACATTGTATGTGCAACTGATTTAGTGATAATTGTTACAATTTTTCTAGTTAGACAACATAATTACTTTTAACAATGCAAATATAGAAGGAAAATAAATAAAGAAAACGGATCTGTGTGCTTGATTTGGGACTTGGCGTGATTACAATTTACAATTAGTCATTAATTTTCTTTTACTGCAGCCTGCAAAGTTATACAAGCTAAAGCATCTTTCAAAGGTGGAGGTTTTAACAAACGACCCTAGTGGGTGTACTTTTACTCTGGTAAAGAAGATCCACCTTCCATATGCTTATGAAAAAATTGTACATTTATGTTGGGAATTCGTGCAAAGGAATAGAATTCTTGCAATTAAGCAAAACAAGAAACAATGTTTGAGAAAGATTGTTGTTCCATTTTCCATTTTGGTCTGACTGAATTTCTTGTAGGGTTTTGATAATCTTAGGAGCCAGAGTGTTGCTCCTCCTCAATGGACCATGCGAAATATTGATGACAGGTATGCTATGGAGAACATGGACCTCTTTTCAATGTTATCCTTTCCTTCAGTAAACAGGCTGATAAGCTTTTGATTACTGATTATCATTCCTTTTTCTTTTCCTTTTTCTGTTAAAAAAAATCTATTGTGCAGGAACCGCCTTTTACTATGTATTTTGAACATATGCAAAGATGCCCTGGGTCACCTTCCTAAAGTTGTTGGTATAGATGTCGTGGAGATGGCTCTTTGGGCTAAGGTGCATATGATGAATTTGTACTGCTGTACTATTTTTAGAGTGTATGATATTTATAATTGAAGATTTCACTTCCTTGCCAATCACTAATTGTGGGTACGACTTTATGATGATAATTTTTTTGTCAATGTTAATTTCTTTGTTGTTTTAGTTTTGAGAGAATTCTGTTATTATTTGTTTTCGTTGTTTTTTGTCACTTCTTGAAATCAGTTCATTCCTTCTGTTCTCCTATGTTTTGGCTTCCTCCGTGTGGATATTTTGCTTAAACTCCATTTATTAGTTGTTAGTTTGTTAGATTAATATTTGCAGTGCATTTATTCTCTAATTTATTGCTAAAAAATTGATTTAGGAAAATACACCAGCAGTCACTAATCAAGGCGATATGCAAGAGGGTCCTGCTGCATCAACAGTAACTGAACGTGACTTAAAAGTCACTGTAGAAAAAGAACTTGTCTCCCAAGCTGAGGAAGAGGATATGGAGGCACTTTTGGGAACGTATGTACAGTTTCATTGTTTTGTTGTGATGCAGAAATTGTTTGTGCTTCATCTAATTTGTCCATTGAGAAGAATGCTAAGGTTTTTATGGACTTTATGATAAACTCGGTTACTGGGTTTTTTCAATTTTGTTAGTTTGATCCTTGTTTTCGGACAAAAAGCATGAATTACTTGGTTATGGGGTCGTATACTCTCTCATTAAGTGGGTTTTGGAGCACCAAGTGGGGGGCCTCATTCTACTTTAGTTGGTAGAGAGCAAATGGTTCACAAGTGACTCCAACAAGTTGATTTTTTCTCTCAGCCTCAACCATTTTCTTTCATATTTTGTTCTTAAAAAAAAAGCATCACTCTTTAGCTATGTTCTGTTGGAACTTATCTTGATGTAGTTGTGATGTGGTATATTTTTACTGGGCGTGATATGCAGTTATGTCATGGGTATTGGTGAAGCAGAAGCATTTTCTGAAAGGTTGAAGAGAGAGCTTCTTGCTTTGGAAGCAGCAAATGTGCATGCCATTTTGGAAAGTGAACCTTTGATTGATGAGGTGAGTGTTTTTCTATTCAGTTGTGTTTTTATGTATGATGGCATTTGCCACATTTCTTCCTTATTTGGATTTGTTAATTTATTGTCCTTTTTATGTTCTTCTGTTTGGTTCTTGGTTTCACTCTTCTCAAAGAAAGTCATTTTTCCCCAATCGTCTATCTCACCTTTCAGTATTAATACCATTAAATTCTGTTGTCATCCATGTGACCATATGATATATACGGCATTAGACAGGTCTAAGCATGATACTTAGTCTGGTTTTCAACCACTGTAATTACTTAGCATCAATGTTCTCTCGTTCATCTTCTGACCTCATCCTTGTTTAGAGCCTTCAACTTCTTTTTGCTTAAACAGTGTTGCTTTCTGATTCTGAGAAACTTTATCATCTGTTTGAGTTACTTGCATACATTGCCTTATCATCATCTCCATGTGATTTCTGTACAAGCTTCTTTTGCCTGCTAGGACATTGATTGATGGTTGTCTATTTTCTGGAAGATATGTGATACTGTTATTCATATGTTCAATTGTGGGTCTTATAGGTCCTGCAAGGGCTTGAGGCAGCAACGAATTGTGTCGATGACATGGACGAATGGTTAGGCATCTTCAATGTGAAACTCAGACACATGAGAGAAGACATCGAATCGGTAAGGACTCTAGATACCTTTGATAATTTTTTAGATTTTTACTGATCCTTTATGGACTACAATTTATTTATTTCCAACATGCAGTTGATTGGAATTGTTTTTAACTTGTTTCTCATGGAACAAACATACCATAAACGTAGACCAATTTAACACTGTACATCTGGTCAAAGATTCCATTTTCCTGTTCTATGACATTGTATTTTAAGGGATTAACAAGAATGCCAGTGGTTCATTTTAGTTTCCTTTTCCCCCTTATACTTTTACTATATGACATCGAAAACGTAGGTGTTTACATTTCATTTTTTCCCAACAAACTTTGTGATGGTATCATCTTGTTCCTTGTTGAACGAAATTCACCTGTATTGGTGCTAGTTCTGGGTTACTTCAATCTCCTCATGGTTCTGACTAAGAGGTGGTTGTTCAGTATCCCATGCCATGACATGGTTTTGGGATATCCACTGGATATATGAATGTCTTCTACTTGAATGCTTGATCTATTCTTAAGTTGGCTGCTAACTTTTTTTCTGTTGTGATGCCCAGATAGAAACCCGCAATAACAAGTTGGAGATGCAATCTGTAAATAATAGAGCACTCATTGAGGAACTTGATAAGCTTCTTCTAGGTTTGCGTGTTCCTTCTGAGGTATATTGCCCATCCTTTTTAGCTGTGAGACATAACTAATTAGTTTGAACTTGGGCAACTTTTTAAGGCTTAGAATCATTTTAATGGCGTTTCGTTGGTGCAGTATGCAGCATGCTTGACAGGAGGCTTATTTGATGAGGCACGTATGCTTCAAAATGTAGAAGCATGTGAGTGGTTAGCTGGTGCTTTACGCAGTCTTGAAGTACCTAATTTGGATCCAATCTATGCAAACATGCGAGCTGTATGCATTCTACCTTTCTCATTCATTTCAGTTCTTTTTTATTTTTCTTTATTCTTCAAAGATTTGTGGGCAGATGTGCAAACTATAGAGTTTTCATCACTGTGGTGTGAACCCGTCATCACTTTAATGAACTTTTTAGCTAGCTATGATGTCAATTAATCATGTGAGATGGAGTGAGATTACAAATATCTGTTTTTTTTTACTGATTTTAAGACCATTTCATTATTTTGGTAAAATTAATTGTAATTCTTACAGGTTAAAGAGAAGCGAGCTGAACTTGAAAAATTGAAATCTACATTTGTCAGAAGAGCTTCTGAGTTCTTGCGAAATTACTTTTCTAGTTTGGTGGAGTTCATGATAAGCGACAAGAGCTATTTTTCTCAGGTGCACTTTAGGGACTCAAGCTTCTATAAATTTGACCAAATTGTTCATTTTCTGAGTATTTATATTGCTCACTATTGTGCTTGATTTAAACAGCGGGGGCAACTGAAAAGGCCTGATCATGCTGATCTGCGGTACAAATGCCGAACATATGCTCGCCTTCTGCAACATTTAAAGGTAAAATTTCAGCTTAATCACATTAGCTATTAGTACTTTTGTTGTTTCAACTTGCGCATGTGCATTGGTGACTTTCTTCCTTGCAGAGTCTTGATAAGAATTGCCTGGGTCCTTTGAGGAAAGCATATTGTGACTCCCTCAACTTGCTTCTTCGTCGGGAGGTCAGAAACACAATCCTTTTATTCTATCATCTGAGTGTTACCTGGAATGTATTTCTGAGATATCTGTGTTAGTTATATTTTTTGGCTGTTGTCTTTTATCATCTTTTATCATGGACTTTATCTTGAGTGCTTGAATTTTCCATCTAATCATCAGACTTCCTAATAAGATAGTGACTTGGTTTGGTAGGTTCAGTGTAGCATCAACTAATAATCATATAGACCAAAATAGTGGTGGCTTGATTCCGCATGCATTAGTAACCTAATCAAATCTTCTTGCTCTAAAAATTTATTGTTTTGTAAGAGCTTTGACAGTTAAGTGATAAGTTTGAAAATTTGAGTATATAATTTGATACCTACAGGCTCGTGAATTTGCAAATGAGCTTCGTGCTAGTACAAAGGCATCAAGAAATCCAACTGTCTGGCTTGAAGCTTCTGCTGGGTCTGGTCAAAATGTGAATGCTGCAGACACTTCTACTGTTTCTGAAGCTTATGCCAAGATGCTTACGATTTTTATCCCACTCCTTGTAGATGAGGTAAAAGTCAAGTGATATAATAGTTTCTTTGATCTAAATGGTACATATCTTTGTATTTAAAGCCCATTCTACAATGCCTCAACTGCAGAGTTCTTTCTTTGCACATTTTATGTGCTTTGAAGTTCCTGCACTTGTTCCTCCAGGAGGTACTGCTAATGGAGATAAATCTGATGACACCAATGACGATGATTTGGGAATCATGGACATTGATGACAATGACAGCAAAGCTGGTAATTTACGCTAACATCTTACTGTACTTTTCTGTATGTGCTTGCTTTTATTCATATTTTTACACTGTCTGCAATGGATGCTTTTGAATTCTGCCAATTCTACTTCTCTCTGGTATTTGATACAATTGTCTAATTTTGTAGGTAAAAATTCAGGAGAGCTTGCAGCATTGAATGAATCTCTTCAGAATTTACTCGATGGAATCCAAGTAATGCACACAACATATTGCCTATCTTTTCGCACTTGCTATTGAAATTTTGTTGCTTGGACGTTCTCTGTTTTGTGGTTGTGTAGTTTTGTTGTCTGTAGCTGAAAGAAACTTCCATGAATTTCCAAATGAGTATCTCATCTTATCTTATGGGTGTCATCCTCAAAGCTCAATCTGCTCTGTGCAGAACTTGGGAATTGGGATCCCTTATCTCTGTTTTAGGTGATAGTAAGGTGGATGATTCCCTGAGTAGCTTAGGAGATGGAATCTCATGTCCAGCAGTATCTTGTTTGGATGGCATATGTTTGTTTAAAAGTTTTAAGCTGCAGAAATTTATCATTTCATAGGTTTGACTCTTCGTTGTCTGCTTAGATAGATATAGAATAAGCCAGTGTCTAATGAATAAATGGGGTGATGTAAGAGAGGGTGGTTTGGCAAGTGGTCTTCCTCCAGAACAGAGAAAGACTAAATCTATGTTTCCTTTTATGATTTTAGCATGATAATATTGATGAGGTGGCTTGATTTGTGGTCTGCACTGACATCTAGATTTGTTTGGGAGTGAACCTTCCGTAATATTTTTAAATTTATTTTTTACTTTTAATGGTTTGCACACTTTCACCCTCTATCCTGGTCATGACTTGTTACTTAGCTGCATGCACTTATATGGTTTTCAGGAAGACTTTTATGCTGTGGTGGATTGGGCATACAAAATTGACCCCTTACGCTGCATATCAATGCATGGGATTACGGAGCGGTATCTTTCTGGTCAGAAAGCTGATGCGGCAGGATTTGTGCGTCTCTTGCTTGGTGATCTGGAGTCAAGAATTTCTATGCAATTCAGTCGTGTAAGTTCTTGTGTTTAGTGTTGATCAATTCATAGTCATTTGTTTTTAAGGTTATGATCTGAACCCATGTAATGTGTATGCTCCATTGCAGTTTGTTGATGAAGCTTGCCACCAGATTGAAAGAAACGAACGCAATGTTAGGCAAATGGGTGTCTTATCATACATCCCTAGGTAAACTGGATTATACATTACTTATGTTCCTTTGTTGAGGAAACTTCATATCCTCTTTGAAAATTTAGTCAGTTATCAAGTTGAGGTTTGGCATGTTTTGGTCAGTTATAATTGAGAGAACAGAAATTGCAAAACTTTTGTATGTTTTCTAAAGGAATTTGTCAGCTCTGATTACTTATCCCATGTGATAGAATTTATTTCCTATGTGTTTGATTATTGTTTCATATTATATTTGATTTCCCCTCCTTTTACTTAGATTTGCAACTCTGGCAACGAGAATGGAACAGTACATCCAGGGGCAATCTAGGGATTTGGTTGATCAAGCATACACTAAATTTGTGAGTGCTTTTTTTTTTCTTTCTCTGGAAACATATTCCTGTTATCTGCAGAATGTTATCAGATATCGTGATATACAAAGCGAGTTGTTTGCACATAGCCATATTGAATTAAGTAGGCCCATGCTGCAATGGGCACACAGCATAATTATTGTTAACATTTTCTTACATAAGATCAATTGTTTGACAGGTTAGCATAATGTTTGTGACTTTGGAGAAAATTGCACAAACAGAGCCAAAATATGCTGATCTTTTTCTATTAGAGAACTATGCTGCATTTCAGAATAGGTACTCTTCTTTTTCCTTTCTACCATTATGAATGTTATTTCTTTGTTGGTCGACTTCATTCTGATTAGAAGCAGTTTGCTTGCAGTTTGTATGACCTAGCAAATGTTGTGCCCACATTGGCCAAATTTTATCACCAGGCGAGTGAAGCTTATGAACAAGCTTGCACACGCCATATCAGCATGATCATTTACTATGTAAGTTATCCAGATGCCGAATCTTATATAAGTTTCTCTTCTCATATGGATGCTGCAATTTTGGGCAGATCTATTTTAGAATCTTATATCATTCCAAGTTACTCGTTGTGAACAAGTAGACAAAACCGAATCTTTATGAAAGATAAAGACACTGAAATTGCTAAACTACTCTCCGCGGGTGAAAGCTAACGTGCTATAATTTTCATTTAGACACTGAAATTTTCACACAGGCATCTAGCTTGTCTTGAATCAGCCATTTTTTTGGCATAGATGTATAGCATAAGCCTGAAATACTCCTTGGACAGAATATTTTTGGTGGCACGTACCCTCATTGTGTTTTCTTTTGGCAGCAATTTGAACGTCTTTTCCAGTTTGCTCGAAGAATAGAGGATTTGATGTATACAATTCCACCAGAAGAGGTTAGTGTGTTGGCGGTCCTTAAATGTTGTCCTCAGTAGAGTAACTTCCTGTGGTTTGCCACTTTTACCACTTTGGTCCCTATGGTTTGCCACTTTTACCAATTGAAACCACAGGGATAAAATTGACAGAAGTTACTCCGCAAAAATTGACAGAAGTTACTCTAATTTGACAGAAATGAGATATTGTACTTGAATTGCTTCAAATTGAAACCACAGGGACCAAAGTGGTAAAACTAGCAAACTACAGGGACCAAAAGTGACTTTTTGCCTTAAATTAATACAAGCGGCTGAGATGCATCTCAAGTGTCCATATCTGATCTAACTTTGAAAAAGAAAACCTCATTAATTATGTCACACTGCTAGATAATCTGTAACTATGTCCATTGCTTTGTGCATCTGTATATTCCACCAAGAGTATCCAGTCCCATTCTGAGAATGTAGCGTTTGGCTGGTATCTGTGTTGTTGCTAGGACCATTTCTGCAGAGTTTTTTATTTATTTATTTCAGAAGTCTTATAAAAAAAAATTAGTCTTAACTTGCTGGATGGTTATGGCTGAGATCAACTTCCTTCACAAATTTCAGATCCCTTTCCAGCTTGGGTTGGCAAAGATGGATCTGCGGAAGATGTTAAAATCAAGTTTATCTGGGGTGAGTTGGTAAATTTTCCAAAATAACTTGGTCTCGCATTTTCGTTGCTGACAGTATCTTGGCTTTCCTGATACAGCTTGACAAGTCCATCACTGCAATGTACAAGAAGTTGCAGAAAAACATGACTTCTGAAGAACTGTTGCCATCCTTATGGGATAAATGCAAGGTATGTTGGATAGTTTCTTTGTAAACATGTTAGGGTTCCATGGTTGCTGACTCTTATATCATATGCAAAAGCCTGACCGTTAACCAATGATAAAGGGGAATAAAGTTCTCAATCTTGCTGCTCTATAATTACACGGAGAGATGTTTTGGATTGAGTCTTGCCTATTTGTTAAACGCCACATACAAAATAAAGAAAGCATGTTCTTATTGAAAATATCTTATGGATGCTGTGGATTTTGGCAGAAGGAGTTCCTTGACAAGTATGAAAGTTTTGCTCAACTCGTTGCCAAGATTTACCCAACGGAGACCATTCCAACTGTAGTAGAAATGAGAGATCTTTTGGCATCCATGTAAAGTGAGAGTTTGTCTTGTATAATCTTGATAGCTTCTTTTGAGGGTTGTATTTTAGCTTGCTGTAATCTTTCTCCTCTTTTCCGGAAACATTTTCCCATAATTTGATTTATTAAAATTGTAGAGTTTTCAAGTGTCTTTTTGTCGATATAGGCGAATAAACAATATACCGTTAAATATATTTGATATTCCCACTATTTATTTCTTGTCTTGTGTCCTGGCTGGCTCATAGCCGTTCTATGGTGAGGGTGCCATATATGGGCCATAGATGTAGACCTTCAATTAGCCACAGGATTCATCTGAATGGTAATTTCACTTAAATTTAATGAAATTATCATTTGGCTAATATGAAGGTATACATAAGGGATCCATATATGACACCCTCACTATAGAATTTCGCATTCACAGAAATACGGATGGCATCATGGGCCTAGGCCAAAAAGGAATGGTGGTTGAATTAAATGATCCTTAAGCATCTTGTTAAAACTCAATTATTATTTTATTACCATAATTTAGTATCTGGTTGAAACGATGTGAAGAATCAGAAGTATTCTTAAAATGGCACTGAAGTTGCAGCGGTGTCAGGCCTGAAATAATCTAAGGCCAATACAATGCAAGCCACAACAATGAAAGAGCTGAGGAAGAAGAGAAAAAACCCCAAAAAGACTTATTATAAAACTGGTTTCGTGCAGGAAATAAAACGCCAAAGAGAAAAAGGATATACGTTTTCATATTTTCATATGCTTTGCTGACTAAACAACTTTTGTAAAAGTGAGTCTTTATCAGGTCAATGAGCAAGTTGATAGAACCAAACCTTAAGTCTTTCTTTCGTCCATGGAGTCTTGCTTTTCTTCAGTTGTTGGCGTTTCCACGCACCCAGAAGTCCAGAAAACCCTAGTCCTGCACAGACATTTCCGGGAGGGTTTGAGCAAGCCAATGATGCCAAAAATGGAATCTAATTACCATTTGAATAGGTTTTTGAGAGAAGAAGATCAAACGCCCTTGCAACGTCTTCCGTACAGAGTCTTGAAAGAAGCAGATATCAGTCAACGCCAGCTTCATGACATTACAGAGGTTTGCTCCACACTGTCTGTGTCAAGATCCGCCGCGATCATCTTGCTACGCCACTGTAATTGGAATGTCAGCAAGCTGTTCGACAACTGGTTTGATGAGGAGGACGAGGTTCGAATCACGGTGGGTTTGTTTAAGAACCCACCCGTTGATCAATTCTCTACTGATGGTTCATTTACTTGTGAAATTTGCTTTGAAACGTTTCCTGGTGGCGATGATTTTGATGATCAAAGAATTAGCTCCACCTTTTGTGATCATTTCTATTGTAGAGCATGTTGGGTTGGTTATATTAGCAAATCAATTGCCAACGATGGCCTGGGATGCTTGTCTCTGAAATGTCCTCATCCATGTTGTGGTGCTGCTGTTGGTGAAGACATGATCTTTGTGTTGGTAGCAGAGAGTGCCGACAAGGACAAGTATTTGAGGTACCTGCTGAGGTCTTATGTGGAAGACAGTTACAGGAAGAGGAAGATAAAGTGGTGCCCTGCTCCTGGTTGTGACCATGCTGTGGATTTTGTGGATTATGTTGATGGCAGTGGAGGAGCTTGTGATGTTTCTTGCCTCTGCTCATATATATTTTGTTGGAATTGTAACGAGGAAGCTCACAGTCCGGTGAAATGCGATACTGTGGCAAAGTGGATGTTGAAGCATAAGGATGAGTCTGAAAATAAGAATTGGATTATTGTAAACACCAAGCCTTGTCCAGAGTGCAAGCGACCCATTGAGAAAAACCAAGGATGTAGCCATATGAGATGCAGGGCGCCTTGTAAGTTTGAATTTTGCTGGATATGCCTCGGACCGTGGGGCAGTAGCCATTCTTGTAACTCGTACCTGCAGGGGGTGAAGAATGAGAGTGATAAAAGGAAAAAGGTGGCGAAGTTGAATTTAGACAGATACATTCATTATTATGAGCGTTGGGTAGCTAACCACGAGTCTAGGAAAAAAGCTCTTGTAGATTTTCAGCTTGTGCAAGATGTTCATTTAAAGAAGCTCGATCGGAAATACAGGCAAACTAATCCGATTCTCAGTTTCATAACAGAGGCCTGGCAGAAGATAATCGAATGCCGGCGGGTGCTGAAATGGAGCTATGCATATGGGTACTATATCCCTAAGCATGAGCATGGTAAGAGGCAGTTTTTTGAGTACTTGCAAGGTGAGGCAGAGTCTGGCTTGGAAAAGCTCCATTATTGTGCAGAAGTGGAACTAGAAGAGCATATCAATGCCAATAAACCCATTGAAGATTTCATCGAATTTCGAACAAAGCTAGTCCAACTGACTGTTTTGATTGGAAATTACTTCAAGAACTTGGTGAGAGCGATGGAGAATGACCTTCCGGAGATAAGCTCTTATGGGGATTATTGGTCTTGTTATATCTGTACCCATGTCAATGAGGGTTCTGCCACCATGTGTGTGATGTGTTCTTCACAGTCGCCAGTGTATGGCGAGGTCTAATCCAAGAAAAGGAACTTTTGAGCAAAATTGGTTATTTTGTAAGGTACGTGGGATATATAGTTTCTTGAAAGAAAAGCCTCTTGTATCTGGTGCATGAAACAGAATTTCTGAGGGAACAGAAAAGCTTCTTGAAAAAAACACTTGTCGCTACCATCATTCGTTCTTGTTCTTTTAACTGCCATCCACATTTCTATTTGAGCACTTGCAAGGCGACGCAGAGTTAAGCCTGGATAGGCTTCACACGTGCAGAAAACGACCTGCGGCAGTTTGTCTCGGCTGAGGCCCCATTGGAAAGTTTCCATGACTTCCGTTTAGAGCGTTGGAAAATGGCCTGTCAGAGATAAGCCCTTATGTTATGTGTGAGATGTGTTCAGACCCTTCGTGTGCCTGATGAGTTCTAATCAAAGAAGAGGGAACTTGTAGTTGGTACAAATTTAAAGCTCTTGTTGGCTATAATCTGTTCTCTTTCCGTGGGATTTTATTTTGGCGTCCAATCTAAATTATTTCACTAAAATCAGTGAAGCACTACATTGATGAAATGCCATAAATTTGATTACAAGCATACATGTGCAAAAAATTGTTAACATAGATACAAGCCCAGGTTTAACAGAGTACATAAAGTGACATAACCATATGAAAATCGACCTCAACGAAGATGAAAAAATGAAGATTTAAATTGCACACCAATGACCAAGGATTTAAATGTAGAAATGTAAGCATCGTAGGTGAATCGTGCGAGGAAATCCCGCCTTATAAACTCGAATCGAATGTGAGTTCCATTTTCTTTTCTGGGCAGATATTGCTCTCCAAAAATGAAACAGGAGGTGCACTCTGTTCTCCAAGTTTAGCTCTTAACGTTGTTCTCTTTTCAGTTTCTGTAAATTTTTTTTCTCTCTTAGAACAACAATTTTTTTCTGAGCTATCAAAGTACCTAGGCTAGTCCGATATTTATATATGTAAAGAATCAAAGTACAATTGATCCGAACAAGGGAAGATTGACAAATGAATAATAAATGAATATTTGTATAGCCATCAACCTCATACTTTGATCGCGGTTGGATTACAACATCTACAGTATAGAGAGGGATTTAAGGCATTCTTCCCTTTGAGTGAAGTATATAATAATCTGACTTGACTACGCTACGTAGGTATTGGTATTGAGTAGGTATATACTACAAAAAGAATGGGTTATAAATGAATTTAATATAAACCAACTGGACCGTATGTTGACTGTTGTGATGAACTTTTGAGCATTAATTTTGATGAGTTAGTTGTATTATCTATGTTCCATTTTGTACACCAGCAACAGCCCCGGAGGTGGTGGAGAGTCTGGCAAGGATGAAGATACCAGCAGAGGAAAGAAGCACAGCTCCAGCAAAGCAAGCGAGATCCAGTGGAGTAACCAGAGGTATACTCTTGAACTTGTCCAACAATCCCACTTGAAGTATCATCACCACTGCATGCCCTATTTTCGACTTTGCTTGCGAAACCGATTTCATGTCAACCCATGCTGGAGGTGCCTGGAAATTATAATTCAAACATGAATTATAAATTAAAGTATTCTAAAACTCCATAATCTATGTTGTCTTGTTGGTACAAAATACAAATTATTTAGAAGATATTTCTGTAATTTGTAAAAAGGGAGTGAAAGGTACCTTCATATAGAAGATACCAAAAAAGTTCGACTCTGAAAACCGCGGTCCTTTTTCTTTCACGGCCTTTGATCCCACGAACATGGCGTACAACCCAACCCCGAAAATAAGCATGGCGGTTCCTACCAGGAACATGTCTGTAGAAAGAATGAAAAAACATGAATTATTAGTTTTTGGGTAGGTTAGGGTAGGGTAGGGTAGATATAGCGAGCTGAGAGAGAGCTGAGAGAGAGCTGAGAGAGAGCTGAGAGAGCTGAGAGAGCGAGAGTAGTTACCAATGGCTTCAATAAGTAGATGCACCATATGTCCTTGATCCGTCTTGTGTGACAAGGCATGGAAATACTGGAAATATGACTCTAGAACCATAAAACAACCCTGCATTTAGGCTAGAAATTAGATAGAAAATAGATACAATTAATTGGTTTTTGTTCTAATAATTATTAATTGCTATGCCAAAGATGGTGAATTAGGTAGGAGGAAAAAGAAAATGTTACCTCTACAAAGCACAAAACTGAGCCAAGTAAGGATCCCGCAACTGCAAGTAATGTAAAGAATCGACAGTCTATTATCCCCTGCACAAATGAAGTAATATTTTTATTAGAACTTAACTCATTCAACTTAAACTTAATCAGACATGCTTAATTCTGTTTCAAACACCAACTACTACATAAAATTAATGAACTACTTTTGACAAATTAAGAAGAACATGCATGGAAGTAAGAGAATCTCAAAGCTAAAACTAGCATTCAAATTTTCAACCAAAAAAAAAGCATTAATTGGGCTGAAATTAACATGCCTACTCACCCTTTCAATGAACATCTGGACCTGCTGTCTCGAAGGTTTTGGCTTGAGGGCCGTTCTCAAAAGAATGAGCAAAGCACGGTTAGTCTTTGTAAGCAGGGAAACCAATTCTGCGAACCTACCCCGATTCACTTGTGGCTTCAAAGTGATGCTCATTGTGTCTGAAGTGGCCATTGAGGCCTCGACAACCACCGTTTGCTTTCTCTCGTGATTATCATTCTTCCCACCAAGTCTCTTCTCTCCGCTTAAGCTTCCAGCCTTGCTCGAACACCGCAGCGTCTTCGGCGGCAAAGAAGAAGAAGAAGAAGAAGAATGAAAAGTCATAGGCTTAAACGTGCGCAATAGTCTAGTGGTTGCCATTGCTCCCTTTGACGATACCAATTTACTTACTGGTTGGGTTTGGTGGGTTTATATATAAGTTTGCAGTGAGGTTTGGTGTGGGAAAAACAGAAGATTCGCAGCATCCTAGCTGTGGTTTGTCCTGGTATGGCTGAGCTTCTCGCTTTTTGCCTTCTGCTTGGAGAGGTTGGCTTTGAAGTTTGAATTATTCCCAACACTTGGACGAACCAAAACCAAAACCAAAACCAAACCAAAGCCTGATGACTCTTGCCCTCACGTGGTCTGCGTGTGGGCTCCACCCTCCCAATTGAGAGTATCGAACACGTGTCAACCATGTGTTTCGTGGTATATTTCTCTTGCTTGGGAATAACGAACGAGGATTTTCTCCCTCGACGGCTTGGAATTTTGGAACTTTGGAAACAAAGTCAGAGATTTCTGACGTTTTCATTTGCTTGTGGTTTCGATCTTACGAAGCTTGGATTTGGGCTTTGATATTTGGGCTTTTGGGGTTTGTTTTTTACAAGGAAGGAAGAATGGTCGGCGCATCATGCGTGCAAAACGACGAACTAGGATGTCGTGTATGTTGTGGTACCTCAGCAAAGGCAAAGCAACGGAGAGAGATCTTGCATACATATGCTCAACAAGCAGCATATGCCTAGAACTAGAGAGAGACCAAACCAACGACCAAGAGATGGGTTGCGTAGCAAGACTCTGCGCCTCATGAAACCTGCCACGAAATTGCCTTCCGTCTTCTTCTATCTTGTGCCTCCTATGTCATGCCTCATTTTATTGGCTTACAGATCATAACTAGAATAAAAATTCCCAATAACTATAGCTTAAATCCTGCTTAAGACCAAAATCAATCGTTTAGTAAGGAACTGATTGTTTTTTCCTCAAATTAAATGTTCACAACCAATGAAAACTCAATTCCTCTTACATGATCTCCAAACATTACCTCACAAACTCATCTACAAAGACTACAAATAGCAGAAACTAGAGATGTATACAAATCAACTTCAATGCAGCTGTCTTTACTCCACAATGCATTCGTAACAGTCGAAACACAAAAAGGAAAGAGAAAAGAACAGAGAGGAGGAGGGGCAACCATGCATAACCCCCCAAAGGACCCCATGAATGAGACAAGAACCCATCAACATCCTAGCAATGGTCCCTGCTCTAACACACCACCATTGGTCAATATATTCAAAGCCCACAACAAGCCTGAAACAAGTTACAATCTGGTTATGGACCCCTTGTGAAGCATTGAACTTGAACAAGAACTACAACCCATGGTTTTGAGCTAGGCACTATTTTATGCACCCATAAGAGAAGAAAAGTACTTCAATAACTCTAATTTTGAAAAAGATAATTAACAGGATGTACATCATCCTTGGCCAAACTAAATGATAACTAATACCCACTATTCTCTTGCTAAGGGAAAAGGCAGGAAACCAAACAAACAAAGAAACTCAGTCACCAAAGTTCAGGTCCAAGCTTATTCAAATCCAATCACACAGAATCTCAAACATTACTGCCTAACATTCTCAAATAGGCACTCGAGACTTGAAACAAAAAAATTATACAAGATGAACAAATTGAAAACTTCAATTATAACGACACATGAACTATCCTACTTCTACATTAATATGGCTCAAAAAGTGCTTGAATTGAAAGCTCATCGTAGAGAATGCCTCCGTACATGGTCTTGATTCATCATCATTGCTACATTCTATTTCACAACATACTTCAAAAACATATCAATCTGTACAAAAATTGGAAAATATTAAAAGAAAAAACTCAATCCAATTTCTCCCCACAGGGAAACAAAACATGCAAGCAATACATCTAGCAGAGTTATAGGACTTAAACTACAATAACCTGTGCACAGACATCGAACAGGGGCTAGATTATGGAATGATGGCTTGACCAACTAAATCTGCTTGGCCAAGGTTTGCATAATGTGTTTTCTCTAGACATCGCGCAGGGGATAGATATAGGACTTAAACATAACTAAATTTCTAGATATCCTGGAAGTTATTTCTAACATAACTATTACAGATGGAAAAATCTGAGAGTAGAACAGCACAAACAAATTAGAAAATGGCTTTGCCAACAGTGAAACATTGAAATTGCAAGTAGAACATGAAGATGAGCACATACACCAAACATGCATTTGATTAAACTATAGATACCATCTAGTACAATTCTTGGCCTTTATTAATTAGTTGTCTTCACATTCAACAAGATTTTTCAGGTTACTACAAAACTATTAATATTGAGGAAAATGAATCAGTCGTAAGTACAAAAAATACGGCTACAATTGAACTAAAAAATTTATTTGCAATTTTGTAAACAATCTTCAATTCAAGTACAAAACTTTGTTTCACGATTTGGTAAACATTACCACTGCTCCTCAATAGCCCTTGTTCCCCCGAATCCTAGCTCTCATGTCAACCTGGCCTCTCTTGCAATTGAAATATGTTTCCCTCAGACCAATGCATTCACTTGATATTGATGGACTCTTCTCCCCAGCGCATTCTCTGTACGATCGCTTCTCAACCTTAACGCAATCGCACTCACTAAGACACTTGACCAGTTCCATTGCCAAGCCCTTGCAAGACTTTGCCATTTGGCCCTTGCCTCCCCTGAAAATGACAGAAAGCTACTTAACAAACAAGGCATTGAAATTGATACAAAAGCTACACACAAAAATTGCACCAAGCCCATCTAAACCCGCAACGAAGCAAATCGAACCAATAAAGAATCTCACCAACTGACCTCTTTGGATGACGGCTCAGAAGCTTCAAGTTTAAACTTTTTTCCCCTGAACCTGGTTAGATTAAAGAAGCGGTATACTATTTTGATATTCGTTGCTTTATGCAGACCAAAAGCTCTAGGGAACTACCAAGAAGTTGTATGCTTGAGATTTTCTGCCCTAAGTGAAAACGAATGAGGGAAAGGTCGGTTTACCTCCAATAACGTACAGCTCCTCTAGATCAACGTAAAGTTCTACTTTCTCCTTTTTCAGCTTATGCACGGTCTCGAATCGTCGGATAAGAGAGAACGAGGAAGAGGTGCAGAGCAGACTGCAGAGGAAAACACAACACCAGAAAAGAAAGATGGGAAAGAAGAAAGAGAAAAATGGGAGTCTCTGTTCTTGCTGGCGTTCGGCCAGGCCCAAAATAATCTCACTAACCACAGCCCAAGTGAGCTATGGGCCTGGGGAACCTCAAAAATCCTATAGCCCAACACAAAGTTAAAGCTTTATAAAACCTACTTATTTATATTTTTCATCATCAAAAGATAGAAAATGGAAAATTAAAACATAGCAATGAAAAAAAAGAAGTCATATTTTTAATGTTGTTTCTGAAGCAATGATCTGTTTGTTGTGTCTCTAATTTTCTCTTGTAATTTAAATCATCTAAGAAGCTTTTTATTCTCTATAAAAGATGGATGTCATATCTTTGCATGTTGATGAACTCATTCAAGGAAGAGGCACATCAAATCAGCGTGCAAATCAACCACATTAGTCAAGCCAAGATCCTAATTACAATGGATAGAAGATTATCAAAATTAAGATTACACAGATCTTGGACAAACAAAGAAACCAGAACTATAATATACAGCATCATCCCATACGAACATCAGTATTTCTCGGCCACAGGTCTGGAAGGAAAGAGCCTCAAAAGAAATGCCATCAGGGACCAAAGGCACACCACGCCGACGACTTGGAAGGTCACTATCATAGAAAATAGGGCACCGCTTCTTTCTAGCAGTTCCGGGGATGCAGGCATACCCTTCATCGCATACATCAACTTCTCAATAAAGTAAGCAGCTTTTGTCAACTGGTATAGTCTATAAACCTGCACATAGACGCAAAATATTTCGAACCCTTGAATTCAGCTTTGAAACAAAGAACATTCATGTATCCAAAGAATAATGTCTACCTCAAAAATAATGGGAACTAGAGGCCAACAAGATGACCCTTGCTTTTCAAGACCCGTCTCAAATGCAAGTTGAGCAACACAGCCAACTAGAAAGGGAACCACAGAAACCAAGGCCGGCAAGCCAAGCAACGGCCAGGTTACATAAACAGCAAAGAGAGGGGCAATGACCTTGAAGCCCGTTGTAAAGAAAGCGGATGCCAAGTATCCTCTTAGGCCAGTAATGAGACCCCACCTCTTTGTACTGAACTGCAGATACGGCCTCTGTACTCGGTCAGTTACAAGCAGAAATATTGCAAGGCCCACATAAAACGCAGCCTCATAAGATAATGAAGTCACGATTTCTGCATTGCAAGCAAAGTGATTAGCGGTGTGTTTTATCTTGTGATTTAAATATAGACATATGAAAGCAGGCACATACACTCCTTTACAGATAAAAACTATCACTAAATCAAGAGATTTAAGTACAAGACATACAAGAAAAGGCACATTACTTCTGTGCACAAACAAGATACTTCACCAAACAGTTAAAGTTTTCCACAAACTTCAATTTGAACTGCATAAAGTTCTCATTCGCAATAAACATCAATAGATACATAATTAGCAGAGACAGGCTCTTTGCTAGAATTTGGAAGGAAAAACATACTTATCACAATAGTTATCCGATTATTTTAAATCAATTCATTCACAAAATAGGACGTTGACTATAAATCATAGAAAAAACAAACCATACAAGACCATCTTCAGTGAGCAATGATAAACATTATTGATTTAGCTTCTGAAACAAAGAACAGGTTGTAATATGGTGCAGGCACAGTAAACCAACTTATACTATTTTTTAACCTAGTCATGCATTTCAGTGAAAATGCAAAGCTAATCAAATTAAACAAACAAAAAATGGTTCAATAAATACCTATGATAATTTCGTCCTTCAAGAAAGCCTCGATTGCATTACCAATAAAGAATTGTGGAAGAAGCAACGACGAAATTAAAGCAGCAGGGGCAAAAAACCAAAGGAACGAGCCCTTCTCTTCATCGAAAGGGGCTGAAACCAACTTCCCTTCCTCTACCAACTGGTGTGTCAACCCATGGAATGAAATTGAACCCGATTTACCTCGAAAAGGCTCCACCCCATCAACTCTTCTAAAAGGAAGATTAGAGTTTTCCCCTCCTGAAAATTCCAGCTTTGCATCACTAGAATTCGAAGCGCACTTAATAGCTCCTCTGTTCAAGCTCAGGATTGAAGACTCCTTCACAGAACTTTTCAATCCTGGCATCAAATATGCTGAAACATTTCTTTCAGTTAAAACATAGAAGCAAAACTATATCCTCTAAACATAAATTAAAACCCTGTTTTGGTAGCTAAGAAAAAGGAAAAATAAAATTTTCTGAGCCGAATAAATGGAGATTAAGGTGAAGGTTAAACGTACATTTGGAAGCAATTCCATTATGTTTACGGAGTCTTTGATCCCTCAGCCGAGCATGGCTTGCTAAAACCTTAGGAATTTAGCAAAACAGAAACTGGTGATTACTTGACAAGAAAAGCTAATGCAAGTAAGATTGAAACATAGATTTTCATTTCGAAATGAATATGATACAGAAATTTGCTTACAAGTTGATGAGGGACTATGCGGTGACTGGATAAACCGAAATTCGAGGTGGGAAACCCACGACAAACTGATTGCAGATCCATTTTTTGGGAATTTAGGGTTTAAGCAGAGACTCCCTTGGCTTTTCTTCTTGTTTTAATCAGCTTAAACCCTCCTTGTCTCACAGTCGAACAGGCACGTACGCTGCAGCTTAGCCCAACAATCACCTAGCGGATCAGAAATTTTTGCAAGGTGGCCCAATACTGTTGGGCTGCATAGAACATTTTTACAAGGTAGCCCAATAATAACCTAGAGGCTCATAGCTTTACACAAACTTTGAAGTCCATCAAACCCAATAGCCGAAACAATCCCCAAACCAAACCAACGAAAATTAAGGAAATTTGCACAAATACCATCCGAACTTTTAGGCATGTGTGCTAATATCACCTAAACTTTTAATTTAATTTTTAACCACTTAAGCTTTGTAAAGTCTTGCAATCCACCACCTATGTCAAACTCCATTTTAGTTTCCATTAAGTTTAATGGCATTTCCATCAACTCACTATAACTAAGAATAATTATAAAAATATAATTTAAAAAAAGAAAAAATAAAGTTAACCTAATTGCACCACACCTTCCCTGCCCTTTTCCAATGCCAATTCTCCCCCTCACCCTCATGTGGAGCTAAAGATTCAAAACTTTTATTTTTTTTTCAAAATTTTAAAAAAAAAAAAAAAAAAAAAAAAAAAAAAAAAAAATCATTATTTAGACCACCTGTGGTATTTACCATTTATATTATATTTAATTTAGGCTCTAATTTTGATTTAGATGCTTAGGCATAGCTAGCCATAGCCTGCTCATTCATGGCTAGGTCAGCGAGTGTAATTAGGTTAAACTTTTTATTTTTGGAAGGTACGATGTAATCATGTTAACATTTTTTTAATTATGCTTTTTATAATTAATTTAAGTTATAATAAATTGATAAAAATGCCCTTAAATTTAACATAAACTTTAACATAGTTAGACATGGGTGGTGAATTGCAATACTTTATGAAGTTCAGGTGATTAAAAATAAAAATAAAAATAAAAATCTCATATAGTATTATGGCACTTGCCTAAAACTTCAGGTGACATTTATGCAAATTTTCCATAAAAATATATGGAATTGAGTGTTGTTACAATTTATCCTTGACTCAAAATTATAAATAAAAAATTGAAAATTCATCGAAGAGTTTTTAGGCACGTTGTGCCAAAACATTTAATAGCATGCGGCGGGGAAAGCTCCACCTGGTATGTCTGTCGTATCATGCAAAGCTCAAAAGATACACAGTAGTGACACTTCCCCCAGCGGCCAAACTGGTCCGGGTAAATAAAAGGGTCGTTATACAGTTGCTACTTATCTAGGTCCAATCGGAGGACGGAAGTCAAGTCACGTGAGATGCGCATGCATTTTGGCCGGCAGTGAGAACCGTACCTCAGGTTCGGGTGGTCGGAAGGGAAAAAGATCCAAGGCTTTGACGCTTAGCCGTTTTTGACTTTTGAACAGAAAATTACATACCCATGACTTTATCATGGTAATGAGCTTCATTCAAACTCCGTCCACGGTCTGCCCTTGACGACGACTAAAAAGTGTTGGACCCACGCGCTCCTCTCGAAACAAGTCCAAGGTGCAGTGCAGCACAAAATTTCAAACACGCGCCACTTTGAAATGGGTGGAGATGTTGAGATGGGCGTCGTAAAAAACGACAACTCATGTATGACATAGACTAGTCTTGTAAACGGGGATCGTATTCCATGCAAGTTTTTTCCCTGCCATACCCCATGCAAGTTTTCCCTTTTACAAACCGCAAGACAATTAGTAACAAAATAACTACGCAAATGAATATATTATACGAAAAAGTAATAATTAAAAATGTTTAGCCCAAACAAAATATAACTATTCACAATTAATATATTATGAACTTTACATGTTTAGCGATTCAGAGTTATTACGTACATAACGTGCAATGACTTGTACATTCCTCCAAAATAAGATATATGTAAAGATGTAATAGATGAAGAATATTGTGGGTACATACCGTCTGTAAGTTTTAGTCACGACTCACAAAGATACCAATCCAAAACGCTACTATTTATTTAAAATGATGGATTATGGGACAATTTGTATTCTAATAAGTTGGAACGTGGGCCAAACCAAAGTATAACATAGACAATTTAATGCACACAATCCACGATCCCTATACTATTGAAGCTACACAACTTTTAGGCTTCATGTACCCCACCGCCTTCACACTCACCTTCCCACTATAAATAGGGCGGCCATCCAACAATCCTCCATAACATTTTCACCAATAATTTCCCACTCTACATATCTTTCTATCTCCAACAATAACAACTTTTATCAAACCCAAAAGTCATTGATACCCAATGGCTTCGTCTTCTTCTTTGGGTTTCCCTTCCCTGCAACTACAGTTCCAATCCCCAAGAAAGTCGTCGTCATTCAATTCATCCTCCACCTCCACGCGTCGCTTTTTAGTCCGTCCGATCTCTGCCTCCGTGTCTGAGGTAACACCTTCCTCTGTTTCAGCACAGCCGCCGGAGCCAACCAACCTCCCCGTCAAGAAAATCCCCGGAGACTATGGCCTTCCCTTCGTGGGTCCCATCAAGGATCGCCTCGACTATTTCTACAACCAGGGCAGAAACGAGTTCTTCAAGTCCCGCGTCCAGAAGTACCAGTCAACGGTGTTCAGAGTCAACATGCCGCCGGGTCCCTTCATTTCTAAAAACCCCCAAGTCGTCGTTCTGCTCGACGGCAAGAGCTTCCCCGTGCTCTTCGACGTTTCGAAAGTCGAAAAGAAAGACCTCTTCACCGGCACTTACATGCCTTCCTTAGAGCTCACGGGAGGTTACAGAATCCTCTCCTACCTCGACCCGTCGGAGCCCAAACACGACAAGCTCAAGCGCGTCATCTTCTACCTCCTCAAGTCGAGTCGCGACTCTGTCCTACCCGAGTTCCACTCCAGCTACACGGAGCTTTTCGAAACTCTGGAAAGCAAGCTCGCCGACAAGGGCAAAGCCAACTTCGTCGAAGCCAACGATCAAGCGGCGTTTAACTTCCTGGCCCGATCGCTCTACCGGGCCAACCCGGCTGCTACCCCACTTGGGCTCGACGGACCCAAGCTGGTGTCGAAATGGGTCCTTTTCAATTTGGGCCCTCTGTTGATGCTCGGCCTTCCCAAGTTCATCGAAGACCCCCTGCTCCACACTTTCCGGCTTCCGCCATTTCTGATCAAGAAAGACTACCAGAGGCTCTACGATTTCTTCTACCAGTCGTCCGGTCACGTGCTTGATGAGGCGGAGCGGTTGGGAGTCTCGAGAGACGAAGCGTGCCACAATCTGTTATTCGCCACGTGCTTCAATTCATTTGGAGGGATGAAGATCCTCTTCCCCAACATGCTCAAGTGGATCGGCCGCGCCGGCGTCAAGCTCCACACCCAATTGGCCGAGGAGATCCGATCCGTCGTCAGATCCAACGGTGGAAAAATCACGATGGGCGGTATGGAGCAAATGCCTTTGATGAAATCCGTCGTGTACGAAGCGCTAAGGATCGAGCCCCCCGTGCCGTTGCAGTACGGGAAGGCCAAGACGGACCTCGTGATCGAGAGTCACGACTCTGCGTTTAAGGTTAAGAAAGGGGAGATGCTGTTCGGGTTTCAACCGTTTGCAACAAAAGATTCAAAGATTTTCGAGAGAGCGGAGGAGTTTGTAGCGGATCGGTTTGTCGGTGAGGATGGTGAGAAGCTGTTGAAGCACGTGCTGTGGTCGAACGGCCCTGAGACCGAGAGTCCGACAGTCGGGAACAAACAGTGCGCCGGAAAAGACTTCGTGGTGTTGGCGTCGAGGCTTTTGGTGGTGGAGTTTTTTCTCCGGTATGACTCTTTTGAGATTGAAGTAGGGTCTTCGCCGTTGGGGGCTGCCATTACTGTGACGTCACTGAAAAGAGCAAGCTTCTGTTTTTTTCTCTTTTTTTTATGTTTTATTTATTTTTTTTTTTTTTTTTTTTTTTTTTTTTTTTTTTTTTTTTTTTTTTTTAACAAAAATTTTTTTAATATATTGGGGGGTTTTGTTTGTTTAGTAGTGGATAAGTGGGATATTCGACTGGTTTTGGGGGAGTGTGATGATCCCACATCACATGTGAGCAATTGGAACATTATATTTTTAGCCGAGGATAAATATAAATATTCAAGTTACATGTGGGAATTAATAATTGTGATTGTTTCACTTAAATCTTCTGAATCACATGCCATCCAACAATCAACAATGGCAACGTACGTGTTTCCCCAGATATATGTTTCTTGGTTTTTATTTTATTTTAAAGAAATTGAATTGATTGGCTAAGTTAGGGCAACAATGTTGCTATCCAGCTATTGTTTCATTATTCTGTATTCGAGGTCATGTGTTTGAATTTTCTCTTTTGGTATGATTGTGTAGCTATTCAATTTCTCCCCTCTTAATATCCTATGTTAAAAAGAGAAGATTGAGGTTGAAGGGTCTTTTCGGGGAAGTTGAAGTTGAGTGGTGTGGTGCTTGAGTGTGGTGTTGGTGCTTGTATTTTTAGATAAAAAGCTGAATGGCAAGGGTTTTTAATCGTAGAAATAAAAAGGATGTCGCTCCAAAAGTTGATTTGCCCTTAAATTACCACCACACATAATCCCACAACGTTTTCATATAAAATATGCACGTGGTAAAGTGAGATGCATTATTATGAAATTGACCTCCGTAAAACCAATTGAAGGTTTGGTTGACTTTCGACAACAGTAGCCAAATTGTAATGTTATTATGTTTACCCAAACTAATGTTGTTAATTACTCATTTAGTTGAGCACATGTCCATGAAATCAGGTTCATGAATGTAATTTCCTTCTCTGAATACGTTTTTCTTTGGTTTTATAAATCAGTATTTAAATACCAATAGGCAGTTCTTAAATATGCGTGTGCAAGAACGACGACATTCATTTCGGGTTGAATTGCGAACAATGCACATGCCAGTAAAAGTAAGCCACCTTGCCCTAGATAGATTAAGGTAGAGTGTGGACTAAAGTAAGCAGAAACTATGGGCAACTGGTGTTTCAAATTCTTGACCAGAAATGGGAAGAAAACAAAAAAATACAGTATCAAACAAGCCTGGAGAAAGATCTTTATAATAATGCATCAAAAACTACCGTGTGATCTGATCAGAGTTTCCTCTGGTCAACACCATCACCAAACCGCCTACAACTTTCTAGTCTCTGTAATTTTAACTATGAATTACAATAGGTACATATATGAAAATTAAAAAACGAAGATTTTTTCCTCTACAAGCTTATTATCAGTACATAATGAACGACGATGAGGAAGGGAAAATTGAATTCCCCTGCTGTGATGCAAAACTACTTTTATGGTATTTAACATAATGACATGAAGCTAAGCACCCAATAAGAAAAAAAAATTAAAAATTCAATCACCTTCAGTGTCACTGAATTGCATTACTTAGCAAGCTGTTTGATGAAGGTGAGCTCTGATCACTTAACCATGAATCCTGATGAACAGAAACTGGTGAATTATCCTTCTTCAACTTTTCTGTTGAATTTAAGCTGCCAGCAGCTCCACTCTGCAGCAAAATGACACTTCGCTCTGATTGGGACTTGCTAATGTTCAGAGGTTTCTCGCTTACACTAGACGAAGAACAGCAAGAGGATCCCTCTGATGAAGCTGTGTACGTGTTGTCTTCTGATGAAGATGGCCATCTGCTTAGCTTGATTAGCTCTAATTCAGCAGTTACTTCCATCATTGAAGGCCTCATGTCTCTGTGAAATGCTAGACATCTGAATGCCAATTCGCCTACTTTATGAACCGACAAAAGGGTCCAAGCATCCATATGGGGCTCGAGAAAAGGGTCTATGATCTCATTTAAACACCCTCTTCCAATCCTGTCAGTGGCTAGAGCAGCCAAGTTCACTTCATTCTGGGGACGATTAAAGTCCACTGCTTTCAACCCTGTTATAATCTCAACAAGAACTACACCAAAGCTATAGACATCGCTTTTATCGGAGAGATGGAAGTTCTGATGGTACTGAGGATCAAGATAACCTGGCGTCCCCTGTGGAGCTGTTGAAATGTGGGACGATTCAGCCATGCCAAGCCTTGAAAGACCAAAATCTGCAAGTTTGGCTTTGAAGTTGCAATCTAAAAGAATGTTGCTTGACTTGATGTCTCTATGATATATTGGAGGTTTGACAGCAAAGTGCAGGTGGGCAATTGCTTCGGCGGTTTGAGTGGCGATGGTGAGGCGTATCGGCCAAGAAAGTCCGGCACCTCTCTCTCTTTGTAGATGTTGACATAATGTTCCATTGGCCATGAATTCATACACAAGAATCTGTTCACCACGTTCTATGGAACAACCCAACAAGCGGACTAAATTTTGGTGCCTTACAGATGAAATGAGTCTGATCTCATTCATGACTTGCTCAATGCTGTCATTACCTCTATGCTTAATTCTTTTTATGGCAACCCATTCATCATGGAGTTTTCCTGCATAAACAGTTCCGTAGGCTCCCGTCCCCAGCCTTTGTTTCTCTGAGAAGCCATTTGTGGCTTTCTCAATTTCTTTGTAGGGATAGAAGGGAATGTTGCAGTTGCCTGTAGCTTCAGATAGAAGGCGTTTTGTGCAGAGTCTTGCTTTCAGTTTGGATTGGCGCCGAATAAAACAGCATATTAGAGCCAGACTGATCATCAAAGAAGCTCCAACAAAAACGGCTGTGAAAGGAGATTCCATTCCAGATTAGGAAGAGATATACGTTGTAATAAAAATTCTTGTTTTGTGCTTTTGTTCTTGAACTTTTACAGATTTGTATAAAAACTTAAAAAGACTGCCATTTCTAAGCTGTAAGTCTGTAACCCCATCAAACAGTAGTGTGTCCAAATCTGAGTTCCATTATGATTAGATGTAGTTGTCAACAGCAGAACCAGAAGTGGTGGTGGGGAGGGAAGCAAGTAGGATGTGTTATTTCACATTATTTAGTTAAAAGAGGAGTTAATTACCTCCAATCAAAACGATGAACCTGGTCTTTCCTCCGCATTGCCCAGACAAGTATTTTGCAGGGTTGCACACCAGTGAGCCTGTTCACAGAGCACAAGTCATATGAGTTTTTGTATAATATGTCAAGTTAAAATGGATTTTTGAATAAATATCTCTATAATTAAGCCTTACATTTGTAATATTACATTCACATAATTACAATTTATATAACATTATGCATTGAGGTTACGATTAATCTGGCTTTGGATTGATTAATCCACAAGACAAAACACACACACAAGTCTTGGCTAAGATGTTAATGAAGATAGTTTTGTTTGGTTAGAAGTTCCCATGATCTTATTCGGGATGTAATTCCGTTGTACTATTTGAGTTTCACTAAATTGTCATCGAAGAGATTCCTCTTTCAATTTTAGGAGTATAAGTGCCATATAGACCCGGTAAGACAGCAGGACGATGGTTATGGAAGTCGAACTAGACATAATTTACTAATTGATCTTCTTTACCTCTCTTTTTTCTTATGGAGTATAAGTGCTGACCAATTGAGAGAAATTTCATTGATTGACTAATCAACAAGAGATCATATCTTGTTTAAATTAAACTACGTGCCGTCTAACTCGAGAGAACCTACGTTTTCTTCAAGTTTGACAAAAATCTATTTGACCTGAATCTTCCATGATTTGGTGACCACCATTTTAGAAAGTTGACAACCTCGACCCTTGTCAAACCAAAATGAAATTCATTGGTGTGTGCACAAAGAAGGAGCAGCAGGTGTATATATGGACTCTGGGATAGAGGCCTTCGTGGCCCTACGAGGATTTTATTTAATTTCAAACTAATTAAGTTAATTGCATTTCTGAAACATATAGTTGAACAATTAAACTTGTATACGCAATGAATAAAATATGGTTAAAGTTCATCTAACTTGATTGTATTAGGTAAAACAACCCATCTTTGATGGAGGATTCTTATCTCTTTGTTTTCTTATAAAGAGACAAAAATTAAAAAGAGCAAAAGTAAAAGCTCCTCCATGATAAAAGAAAAACTTGACTGCTTGCTTTCTTCGGGCTCATTGATTAGATTAAGTTGACCTCCACAACGATGGACCGGCCCCACAACAACTTGAGTAGGCATGATGTTAAGGATCACAAGTGCATATTTGCTGGGCCCTACTTTTGGGCCCAGTTCGTTAAATGTTAATTTGGTGTTTATAAATGGGGAATTTTCGCCTAATTAAAATCTTAACAATAACAACTTAATATTATCCCTTCTAATATGGCTGCTAACTGCTAAGCAGAGAAATTATTGTCCAATCCAAAATAATACAGACAAAAGGGAAAATAAATTATTGTTTATGCTTGTCCTTGATACCAGTAAGTTTTAGACGTGATGTTATCAATTCACTTATATTATAACACATTCGCATACTTATATTATAACACATCGACAGTTAAAAAAATGTGAGGCAAAGAATACTAGGTAGGACCCTAAGCATGCATTGGATGGTTTCTCTTTTTCATTTGTATCCTTCTGGTTTGTTCTCGGCCATATCCACCATGATCGAGTTAAAGGAAAGAACACATTCTCAAATAAGGAAGAAGAAGAAGAATAATAATTAAGAGTTAATTAGGCTGTAATTAAGAAAAAGTATTTGATAATTACCTTTCCAGCAACCGGAGCCAGCCACATATCCATCTCCAAGAAGGCCATTATTACACTTGCACGTAAATCCTTGGGTTCCATTGGGCGACACAACAGTGGTACAATTGGCGTTCTTATGACACCCGCAAGTTCCTTCAAGCCACCACCCCAACTCCACCACCTCAACCTCCAAAAACAGCTGTGGCGCTGCAGAGCTATTCAACAGCTGCGGCGGCGACGCCGATATCGACGACAACAAGAACTTGCAATCCCTGTGCTCGACTTTCTCAAAATCCAAAAACCGGACATCCTTTCCGGTCTCCGCGTAGCAGCTGAGGCTGCTGTTGGAGCTGCAATTGGGCGGCGCGTCGAACCGGGCCTGGACCAGAATGTTGGGTATCTCACAGCTGCTCGAGGGTTGTCCGTCCGTACAGTTCTGTAGGAGGATGGCGTTTCGGGACGTTGGGGCGTATCTGGGGCCGTAGAGCTGGCGGAGGGTGCGCAAGGGACGGTTGCATCGGCTCTGGAGGGTGACTCTTATGCTGTCCGGGGTTATGGTTTGGATGGGGAATTCGCCGATGAAGATTCCGGTGTGTGGGGTACACTTGAGGCGGATTTCGCAGCCGGGTGAGAATCCGAAGGGGTATTGGATCGGGTCGGTCCCGACGCCTGGGCACGACCGGTTGCAGGGGGGGGTTGATGCATGGGACGTGCTTGCGAGAAGTACTGAAAGAGCAAAGATGGATATAAAGGAAAGGGTTGGATTGTTTATGATTTTCATGGAAGTGGATTTTGATGAAGGAAAGTTTTTCTATTGAGTGATCAAATTCATATCAGGAAAGTGTTAAAAATCAATGGGTTTCTTAATTTAGTGATGAGGAATTAATGCTTGAGCTTTGGTTCTTCAACGGCAAATGAACTGCCTGCTTTGGAATTGATTGAAATGGATATATTGGAGAGAGAGAGAGTCGGAGAGAGGGAGGGAGAAAGAGAAGTTTCTTGCATACACACTAGAGTCTATGACACGAATCTGCTGTGGCCTTCTCTTTCATTTCATATGGGAAATAAGAAAGAAATAGGCGTTACAAAATACTATTTATTTATCATATAAAAATGAGAAGAAAAAATAATAATAATAATTCCTTTGAAGCTTGAATGATAGCTTGGTTTGGAGGGACGAGACAAAGGGGGATTAGTAGTAGTAGTTATGATATTAAATATTAATCTTGTATTTGCGACGACCAAAATGAAAAGTTAAAAGTCTGTGGTTATCAGAGCTTTTTTACAAGTGGGGCATAAATTGCTTTTTATATCAGAGCTTTTTTATAACATAATGATGAAAATATTACAATATACGGATATTTATTAAAAATGACTTTTTTCTTTTTAATAGTTATTTTTGGTTTGAAACTCATATTCCATCCCAACAAAGGGAAAACCAAGGACCCAAATTCAAGGCAAATGACGATACAAACAAAGCAGAGCTCAAACCAAGAGAAGGGCAAGATTGACCCAAATTACGTATATCTTCCAAATATATATAAATATTATGAAGTATTTTTTATTTTTATGTACCTTTCAAAATTCCGTGAATATTACAGGTGTCTTTCCTTTTGACCATAGTGCCCAAGGGAGCATTCCTCACTTGGATTGAGAAGAACAGACAAGTCAAAGCTCTTGAATTCACTTCCTGTCAAATGGGGTAAATCCTGAGAGCTTGGTTGCTTGAGCTTATCTTTTTTTTATCTCTTTTTTTTTTCTTTTTCTTTTTTTTCCAGAAAAATACTTGCCTTCTTTTATTGGAGTAAGGTCATCTCTAGTTATAGAGCTAAATGTAGTTCATGGCTATAAATTTAGCCTTCTTTTATTAGAGATAATATTCCATATATGACATATGTATGTTTTATATTTTTTAAAAACAAAAAGAATTTAATACATTTAAAAAGGTTTTAAATTTAAAAATAAAATAAAAAACTTTTCAATGACCTCCAACAGTTAGAAACCAATTATATATATATATATATATATTTAAAAACAACATAAATTTGAAAACATTTTAACAAGTAATTTTTTTTTAAAACCTAATAGCTAGTTGATGTCATTGATGATATCAGCGCGCCTTTAATATTGGCTATTAGATATGCAGTTGCACAAGATGTTTCGTGCTCTTGTCCACGAGTTATATTTTCTCTTCTTGGAAATCACGTGCATTGGGCCCACACAAAAATTTGGCCTAGGCCAAAGTGGCAAAAATAATAATAATAATAATTAGTCCGTGGCTAAAGATGAGTTTTGCATTATTTTAAGACTATATTTGGTCCATGGCTGGAGATGTCTTAATAAGAAGTCCTATTTTCCTGCTAATCATAGATTGACATGCGTACTGAGATTCTTATTTTTGTGTTTTTGATGAATTATTTTTGCACAATCCCGATTTCTTGAACTACAAGAGTTCAAGAAATTTGTGGTCACTTACCGTTGGATAAAAAGTTTCTTAAAAAGAGTGCAAGAGTGAGTGAACCGTTGAAATTACATCTAATGGTGGGGTGACCACAAATCTCTTAGACCCCTATAGTCAATGGCGGAGCCAGAAAATCTATCAAGAGGGGTCAACCTTAAATGACAAGATTAACACAAAATAGAAAAATAAAAAATTCATCTAATAATAAAATCCTTTGTAATAATTTCTATATCATTCCAAAATATTGACAATGGAGCATAGGTTGTCCATCTTCAATTTGAATTGTTATGCTTTGAAGTTTTTTCTTAGGGTAAGATGTCATGCTTTTAGTTTTAGGTAATTAGGTTAATAATTATTAAGTTATTACAAATAAAGAAATAATTAAAAGGGTAAGTAGAAAAAGTTATGGACATGGGAGACAAAAATTTCATCTTTATTTTTGTAGTTTTTTTGCAAAGTAAGATAGTGAGAAGGGTCAAATTTCAGAAATACTATATAAAAAAATCAAGGATAAACATGTAAAAAGATCAAATATGCTAAACATGAGAAGGGTCACTTGACCACTGTGAGCCTTCATTGGCTCCGCCCATGCCTGTAGTCCAATAGATCGGAACTGTATTTTTGCATATGTATTAAACTTTCATTTGTATGAAGTATGAATGCCTCATTTTAAGTAAGGAGTAAAGCAATGTCCTTTTATTATGGCTAGCTTAAAAAGAAAATGAAAAAAACATAAATTCAATCGATTGAATTTGTGCATTTCTGTGTTCCTTGTTCTTGTGTTTTTTTCTTTGTTGTTGACAATAAAATCTTTGGTTTCATGATAAGAGCAAGGACGATGAATTTGAGGCATTGTAATTTGTAAGAGGGGGGTGGGTGTGGAGTGTGGACAGTGGAGGTGGAGCCGCCACCTTTGAAGTTTGATGATGAAGATTGAACAAACGTAACTTGTTCCCCGTGATCCTTTCTTTATTAGCATTACATCCTTCTCCCTCCCTACGCCTTGTATAATATAATAACGTAACCCAATTTGCAATATATTACACGCCACCGCATCCTTTATTTATACTGCACACGCATTTTGACCCATCAACTATATACAAGTACTAGTAGTTCCTTTTTTATTCCCCATCTTCCCATATTTGACTTTGGCTGTTTGTTTTTTTTTTTTTTTTTTTTTTTTTTTTTTTTTTTTTTTGGTTTTTCTATTTTTCCTCCAAGCTATAGAAATGTTTGACTGTTTGGTTAACTGGTGTAAAAAAAAAGAAAAAAAAGATCCATGATATATAGTAAAGAAAATTATGTTCCTGATCTCGACGTGTTTATCGAATTGTATAAGATGATTTAAACACTAATACAGTCATCAACAACAGTGACGTTCATGAAGAGAAAGAAGAAAACAAAAATATAATTAATTATTGTGATTGAATATGTAGATCTCAGCATTGCATATGCGTGATCTAATTTGTCGCAATTTGTGTTTCTAGAATCTGGCATTTAATTATAATTGAATCATTGTGGCTTTTCAAACATTAGACCACGGGAACAATAGTGTTGGTACGAATTCGAAGAAATTTGATCGACACTACTCAACAACAGCTTGAGATATAGGAGTCAGACAGCCTCACTCTCAGTGCGCACCTACTGCATATCTAGCTAGCAGGCAGCCCCATTTGATTGACTAAAACAAGTCTGATCAAAATAGGGAACTTGGCAAACTTGAAAAAACACAAGAAAATAACCTATCAAATTTGATTTACTGGATGGATAATAAGAGCGGAAGAAATTGTTAACGTAAGCGGCTCGATACAATCCATGATATGTAATTCCCACGTGTGAGCTTGATACAATCCATGATATGTAATTCCCACGTGTGAGAAAGGAGGTGTTGATATTAGATATAGAGAGAAGATAAATAGGGTAGGCTCGAATCTCTCCTTCCTTGGAGTGCGCTGGCCTTGAAGTTTTAGCCAGGAGAGTGGATAGAGTGGGTCAAAAACTCTAATTTAACAAAACAAAAAAGAAAACATGTCCAGTCTGATTGATGAAAGCATGCATTAGCATATCAAACATATATCTATGCGAAACTTAAGACTTAAGGGAGGGCGGGTTTGGCAACTTAAGACTAAAGTGACAGTTCCACTTAAAATACTGGAAAAGAAGAGAGCACTAGGATTAGAAAAATATGAGAAAGTTGAAGCTAGTGAAGAAGTACCTTAAAAGTAGTAAAATACATTAAAAGTAGTAAAATACATAATTTATAGGGTAATTAGCACAGCAACTTGACACGTTCCTCCTAATTTGATAACACAGACACAAAGTCAATATGGATTCCACCAACTAATTAATTTAACTAAGTTAAATACAAGAATCTAAAGGGCGCTTGTTTTAGTTTTACTCTCCCCAGCCCCCACCACCACGGGTCTCTCTTTCTGTTAACTTTCGTTGTTTTGTTATTGGGAGTTTGTTGTTATTATTATTCCTACTATGAGTGATTGATTATGGTGAGAGGTTATAATGAAGGGATCATTAATAATCGTCCAATACAGTACAGAGTTATTATTGGACTGTTGAATTCAACCCCTCATTATAGCCAGTTCGAACTGTCAAAAAAGACTAAGCCCAAGAACAACACTCATTGCGGCGCTTGATAGTAGCGCAACTCAGTCTCAAGACTTTGGGGCCCGAAACCCAAGCTTCATATATATATTTTTGTTGTTGAAACAAGCTTCATATTTCGAAGGCTTGGCAGAATGCTAAAACGTAAAACCCCATGAGACGAATTACAAGAAAATGCTTTAAAAAAACTCATTAAATCAGAAAGTGGAACATCTTTTGTAACAGATAAATTTACACAGCAGCAGAGATAATCAAGCACAGGTGCAAAGCAGACAGAGATTAATAATACGAAACGAATAACATGTACAAACTAGAAATGAAGCATCAAAGTATTAGACAATGACTGAAGAAAATACAAGAAAAACCCCAACTTAAGGAGCAGCAAAGGCATCATCGACCCACTTGTTCTCATGGACAGGGGGGGAGAAGGGAGAGCTGATCAGCAGGGCTTGCAGAGCGGCGCGCACTCTGTTGACACGCTTGCGCTGTCTGATACGCCGCAAAACCACATCTTTGTCTAAGGGTTGGGAGGTGTGGGTGGGTTTTATATGCACATGGCTGCTCACGTAGTTACTATGGCCATGGTGGGTTGCTGCTGGGTCTTCTTGCTCTTCCTTCAAACTGATGCTTGCGATGCTCATACTTTCTTCTGGTGCAGAGGATTTGAAGGAAGAGGAGGTCCAGGAGGACATTGTTTGGATTTGGAGTAGTAACTTTTAGCCAAGTGATGACGAGAGGAAGCTAAGAATGGAAAGGAACAACTAACTAGCTCAAGAGGTGAGTGAGTGAGTGATTGAGAGAGAGAGAGATAGAGATAGAGATAGAGATATGGGGAGAGTACTTATAATTATAAATTGGAGGGAAAGATGTGGATTTTGGAGCAAGTGTAAAAGTTTGGTCGGTGAATTGATATATTCGATACTGCATCGATCAGAGTTTCGGACAGACACCCACAGAGACAGCAAAATCTATGGCTTCTTCTTCTCTAACAAGGTCGGTGACTGCCTTTTTCAGTATAAATATATAGAGGACATGCATGCTCTGTTCTGCTGCTGCAACATTGCTCTCCGTACTTAAAAAAGCCACTTCTGGAACCCAACTGAACTCATCTAGTAAATCACATTATTTAAAGCATGAGCGAATAGTAACAGAGCGTACATATCATATCATCTTTGAGTTTTTAATGGGACACACAAGGCTAGCTAGTAGCTAGAGTAGTGGGTTCTTCTGTCAATCTGAAATCACTTTTCTCAAGGATTAGATTCCGGATGCAGCACCCAATGTCAGATCAACTGATTAGGTTCATTCACTTAAATTAGTCTTAGATTGGGCTCCGGCACTTAACAAACAGCCCGCCCATTTCACAGGCAAAGCCCTCGAATATTGGATTGTGGTCAAAAGGGCCCAAATTTTAATATCATATGGATCATCTTACATGGCCCCACTACACGCGATTATTTCCCCCAAAAAAAAAAAAAAAAAAAAAAAAAAAAAAAAAAAAATAGTTTTAGTTTTGGAAAATTATGGACTATTTTTTGAACTACCTTTCCTATTGAATGCTATTATTCAAACTCATGACCTTTTTGAAGGGAGCATTTGCTCTAAACTACTACATTAGTGGGTTACTTGCAGAAATACACGTACTATTAGGTAAAGAGTTAGTTGGTAGTTGATTTATATGATTTAAAACATGAACCTTTGCATACACTTAAATTATAGAAGCTATGCGTATAAAATATAGAAATCATACATAGAGACATATACTAAATGACTAAAAAATGTTTGTTCATAGATGGGTAGCAAATCAGTAGACTTGGTAGGCTACAATCATAAAAAATAAGAATCAAACAAGAAACCATGTGATTCCAACATCTATGTACGTGCGTCCCACTACCACTAGAGATTTACAACAATAATAAAGTCCAAAAGAACAACGCATTTGGCTTAAAATTTTACAATGCACGCTTTGTCGCTTTAGTGAAATTGTGTAATTAGAAAGACATCGTTTAATTAATTTGTGTCTAATTAGAAAGTGACCTTTCTCCGTTCTTTTTTTAATATGTGAAAAAAACAAAGAAAAAAGAAGACGAATTGAAATCGTGATTGATGACTAAAAGATGTGGCTTCACTTACACCGCACTGCCAAAATAGGCAATCAAACTGGCTGCACTATACACACTATACTCTATGCTTTATAGCGTCATGCTCGGAAGGAAGTGCCAGATACGTGGCCTCCCTACATTAGTCGCCAAATGGTCCTGCATGCTTCATGTGACAGAACAACAATAACAATAACCGCGTACGTGGCGGCTGGGAAGGCGACCTTCGTACTTGGTCGCACACGTGTCCAACCGTAAGTGGCGGTCCCATAGGGAAGATTCTTCGACACAGTATCAGAGTAGCAGGTCGGCCTTTTTCGGTCGGGTCTAATCATTTTCCTATCTGGGTAAAGAGCCAACCAGTTCAATGAATTTGACACCGACTAACGGCCTCTAACGGAAAAAAGAGAGCAACGGTTTTCTTTCCCAAGATTAAGAAATTGCCAGATTCGTCAGTATTTTCTTTTACGAAAGGTCTCTTGGCGGTTTGCCATTGCCAGAAAACTATATCTTCTTGTATTGCTTTCATTTGTTTGGTTTCTTTTAAATTGTTTTATTATTAACTGATCATCTTGTCGTCACCTTCCACTTGACTTCATACTGGCAAAATAAAATGCTGCTTTACCCCACCATTCGTATTTTTTCAATCATGGAGCACGGACGTCGCCGCTCCAATGATTCAACACACTTAAAACCCTAGCCAGGGAAGCCTAAAGCTATTTGTTTTTTCTCTGCTTGTTGCCCTTTTATTTCTGGTGATCAGCGGCTCCTCTTATTTTTTATCCCACGTTTTGGGAACCAATTTCCTCTATACATTAATTTCAGATTTTAATTTATACGAGTCTCATCGCCCTAAAAACGGGGGCAATGTGGCTGCGACGTTAAGTTTTCAACTTATAAGAAAAAACTCATTATCAAATAGCTACATTTGGAACAATTTGGGCAATGGGAGGAGAAAAAAAGTGTACTTACCAATAGCACAAAATAATTGTTCATCATTTAACATGGTTTCTTTTTGTTATGCTAAAATGGCTAAAGGCAGTGGCTTTTCTTTTGTTACAACTTACACCGTCCACGTTCATGCAAAATGGAGAAAGGGAGGATATCACTACACTACGCTACTGCTGCCTGCGATAGTGAGAGTGTCTTTGAACTAAAGGGAAGTCCACTTAGCTACGCTGACATTAATTATAGCAGGCAGCACCACCCATTGCAAAATAATATTGCACCTTTCATGGTCGGTAGCAAAAGTAGAACACGCAGTTTTAAAGGACAGTATGTGGCATGTTTTTCACCTCCAAATTATATGATTCTATTCCATGAAGCACCTCTTACATTATTTATTTTAACTTTGAAAATAACAGAAATCAGCATTGACCAACATCCTAGTGACACGAAACCAAAGGGCTACACTCTTTTAATTGCGTAAAAAAAATTACAGTGGACTCACCATATCTATATCGATATCACTTTTACACAAAGATTCAAAGTTATGAAAAATCAGTCCAAAATTTAGTGATTTCCTATTCTATTTATAAGTATATGCATAATATACATAAAGCTATATAATTATATATTTCTCATAATTTAAACCTTAAATTTTTTTTTTTTTTTTTTTATTTTTTTGGTTTTTTTTTTTTTTTTTTTTTTTTTGTTTTAAGAAAAGTTTAGGGGGGAAGGGAGGTTACCCCATTTCAAGGTCAGGGCATACCAAAGTCTCTTTGAGGACTTACAGAGGGGGCCTTAGCTCATTTTTTGATTTTTACAGAGTGCCTACCGAAAGGGATTTTCGTCAGTAGAACTTGAACCTAGGTCTTGGTAGTTTTTATTTTTTCTCTCTCACAAGTAGAAAGATGGAGTTTTCTTAATTAAGAAAAAAGCATATCCAATAAACAACCATTTAGTTTGGATTGAGACCAATTAGCAAAGGGTAGTATTAGCTCACCAAACCTTAAACCTAAATAAACACTACCAAAAATAGTAACTCCAACTCCAACCGTAGAATCATCACAGCCAATCACACTTACAAAACGAACCTACACGCCATTTTCAGCATCCGACCCGGATTCTCCGGACCCGAAATTCACTCATCACGCAAGCCTCACGTTCCTTGCCCACCACGTGTCAAAATCTTAGGGGCCCCCTTATTCCAACCTTTTACATATATATATATAGTCCCCCCGGTCTCATCTCCCGCCTTCTGTTGTTCATTTCGTAAAAAGCCCACATCCTTCATTTTGCAAGCAGTTTCGCCACCTCCCTCTATTTTCTCCTCACCATTAATTAACATCCGCATCTCCTAAAAAATCTTCTTCGAACCTTCAAAAAAATCAATTGGTGAGTGAATGGTATCATTATTAATTAACTTAACACACAACTAATCATAATCAGAGATTAAAGCCACGTCCGTCCGTCGACACAAATGAAGGACGACGAGAGAGGAGGCGGGATGTTCGCCGACACAGAAACCATACCCAGGGGCAAATTCGGAAACCTCGCGCATTCTGATCCCAACATTTCCTCCACTATGGCCTCCGACATCAACGACTACCCGATGCGCAACAGCAGCGCCTCCGCCATCAGCCCCGCCTGCTCCCTCGACCCCAACCGCATGAGCGGCGAGTGCTCGCCCATAACCATGTCTCCCTGGAACCAGACCAGCTCTTCTCCCTTTGCCAAGTCACCGTGGCAGCCGTTCGAAGACAACAACGCCCCCCAGAACGGCCTCATCGGCTCTCTGGTCCGCGAAGAAGGCCACATCTACTCTCTGGCCGCCTCCGGAGATCTCTTGTACACCGGCTCGGACAGCAAGAACATCCGTGTCTGGAAGAATCTGAAAGAGTTCAGCGGCTTCAAATCAAACAGCGGCCTCGTCAAAGCCATTGTCATTTCCGGAGATAAGCTCTTCACGGGTCACCAAGACGGAAAAATTCGGGTCTGGCGGGTCTCTTCCAAGGATCCGAGCGTCCACAAGCGCGCCGGGACTTTACCCACCATGATGGATATTTTCAAATACTCGGTAAAACCCAGCAATTACATTCAGGTCAGAAGACAGAAAACCCTCTGGATCAAGCACTCCGACGCCGTTTCGTGCTTGAGCTTGAGCGAGGACAAGAAGCTTCTCTACTCCGCGTCCTGGGACCGCACTCTAAAAGTCTGGCGAATCGACACGTCCAAGTGCTTGGAGTCCATCCACGCCCACGACGACGCCGTCAACTCGGTCGTTGCCAGCGTGGAGGGGTTGGTGTACACCGGGGCGGCGGACGGGACGGTCAAAGTGTGGAAGAGAGAGCAGAGCGGGAAGATCATCAAGCATTCGCTGGTGCAGGCACTGCTGAAGCAAGAGAGCGCGGTGACTGCGCTGGCCGTCAACGCCTCGGGCTCGATTGTGTACTGCGGGTCCTCCGATGGGCTCGTCAATTTTTGGCAGCGCGAGAAGCAATTGTCGCACGGTGGGGTCCTCAAGGGTCACAAGCTGGCGGTTTTGTGTTTGGCGGCGGCCGGAAACTTAGTTTTCAGTGGCTCCGCCGATAAGACGATATGCGTGTGGCGGAGGGAGGGAGTGATCCACACGTGTCTGTCTGTTTTGGCCGGGCACACGGGGCCGGTGAAGTGCTTGGCGGTGGAGCATGACCGGGATATCAATGCCAACAAGGGCCATGGGCCGCGGTGGATTGTGTACAGCGGGAGCCTCGATAAGTCGGTGAAGGTGTGGGGGGTGTCGGAGCAGGCGCCGGAGCTGACGCCCGTTGCTATGGTGCAGCAGCGCATGGGATTCGATGCGGACTCGCTGCCGTCGGATGGTAGTTACTCGTCTTCTGCGGGTCGGGGCAGCAGTCACAACCGGAGGTACTGATGGATGGTGATCCATGGTCGCGATGACTTCTTCATCGCACTGGCCAGTAGTATGGTGCCAAGTGTCTATTCGAAATGACACCTGTGAGGAATGAGTCTTTTCTTTTTAATTTGTTTTTAATTTGGTTTTTATGTTTTTCATGATCAGGTTGGTTATTGGGGTTGACGGAGAATGAATACGGGATCGATCAAGGAGGACTTATTAATGTGTTGGAAATTGGAACGGAGTGGAATGAAAATGGAGGGCATATGAATGATATGATAAATAAATTATGTTCTCTCTCCTTAATTTCTTGCTTAATTTGCTAATGAAACTAGTGCTTACTGCTTAGCATGTCTTTTGTTCTCATAGCAATCAAATTAACTTAACATTGGCTGTGTATTTGATCTGCTTAACCAAACCCAAATCATTGTTTTGCAAAATCAGATTTACCGTGACTAAAGTTTTGGAAACAATATACATGTAAAGAGAATTTATTACAAGCTATATTTTTAACTCAGACAAACAAAAAAAAGATTATATCGGTGGAAGCAAAAAAAACTGTCATGGATAAATTTCTCATCATAACCCAAAAAAGATTCAATGTGATAGTGTACGAGAATGGCTTCCTCTTGCTTCAGGTTGCCTTTGTGACCTTAGACCGTTCAAATGACCACTTCTACTACCAACTGAGTTCAGGTCTAGGCCCAGAGGAACAACTGGGTCTCCTCCTTCTAGCACTCTCAGTACCTGCACCAAAGCCAGACAATTTCAACTCAAACAACTTCCAAAGAAAAATGGGAAGGGATTTTTATTTTTATTTTTTCTAAAGATAGTAATTAAGCAAGGACACCTTCGACATTGGCGGTCTAGATTCAGGATCTCGACGCAGACACAGAGAAGCAGCACTCGCCATCGTCTGTAGTTGATGGTGCAAGTCGAGATTTTCAGGGGAGGCCAAGTTTGGGTCCAGTAACTGATAGGAATTTGAGAAGATGTGGTTTGGCTCTAATGTAGCTAAGGGGTGGAACCATTCTTCCAAAATATGATGTCCCTTGACATATTGCAATTCACTGATTCGTCTACCTGTCATAAGCTCTAATAGAACTACTCCAAATGCATAAACATCAACTTTGTGTGTAATTTGCCCACCATCAACATACTCCGGTGCCAGATACCTGCAGTTCACATTGAGGTTAATCACATGGAATTGCTTCCTGTCTTTTCTTTATTAATTGCATACATTTGCATTGCTTTTGTACAAAAATTTCTTGGACCTATAGCAAGCTGATGGGAAAAAATTACCCTGAAGTTCCAATCACGCGGTCTTCATTGCTCATCTCCCATTCAGAGTACAATCTAGCAAGCCCAAAATCAGCAACCTAAATAAATAACAAACAGAGTAAAACATATGTGCATGTTCCATAAGCATCAATAGGGGTGTATAAAAATATGGCAGGATAATATCTTCATTTCCAAGGGGTCCCTTCCTGCCATGCAATGAAGCATATTTCCAAGTCAAATAATAGAATATTAAAAGTTTGATTGCAAGTCGGAATAATATGCCTTGCACTGTGAACAAATTAGTGACCATTGGAAATCATAGATGAAATATGAAATTAGGAGATAGGATCTGTCACAGAGAAGGGCACATTGTTTCTGAAGTATATGCTATAAAATTTAAGAATCAGTTTCAAGTACCAGAGGTTCAAAATCATGGGTTAGAAGGATATTGTTGGGTCGCAGGTCTCTGTGTACTATACATCCCACTCTACAATCTTCATGCAAATACCGTAAACCACGAGCTGCTCCTGTTGCTATCTTTAGCCTTGATTCACAATCCAGAGAGGTTCTGTTTACTGCATGTCATTCAAACAAAATTAAGACCATGAGCATATGCGTATCAAGTCCATGAAGCTGCAGATGCGTATATGCAAAGAGAATGCCATATCTATGAACCTGAAAAGAGCTTTGGAATATGTTTGAAATTAAAAACACGATGTAAGAAAATTGCATACCATGTAAATGGAAATCCAAAGAACTGTTGCAGATGTACTCATAAACCAATACCCTTGCCTTGCCTTCAATACAATACCCAATGAGCAACACAACATTCCTGTGTTGTGCACAGCTCAATACTCGCACTTCTCTGCAAAAGTCAGCATCTGCTTGAGAACCACCAAACTTCAACTGCTTCACAGCAACAATTTGGCCGTCTCTCAATACCCCCCTGTGCACAACACCGAAACCACCTTCTGCCAAAAAGTTCATATCTGAGAATGCATCTGTAGCTTCCTCTAACTCTTTGTAAGAGAACTGTTTTGGAGGTTTCCCAAAAACCGGGGTTTTATGTTGACAAAGAGAGCATAAAGGAGGAGGTACTGAGGAGGTTCTACCCAAAGAAACAGCATCCCTGATGCTTGAATTAATAAGGTAGCTTTTGTGATGGGTGTCCTTGGGCCCATGTTTATCTTTCCTTGTATCTTGATCAAATTGTGCATGCTCGTCAAACAGAGTTTGGAAAGTGGGAGATCTTACTTTGTGAGCGTTGTTACAATTTTGGGGCGTTGGGGGATTTCCATGATCCACAATGTGATTTGGGGGGATCCAAAAGACACTCTGAGTAGTAACTACAGATGACGGTCGGGGTTTAGACAGAGTTATAAGCCTTTCTCCAATTGTCTCAAGCTCTTCATACGGATCCTCTGAATAATTTCGTCTGTGGTTTCCTCTTTGTGGTCCTTCAAAAAGAGGATTCTGTTCATAGACAAGAAAAAGAGAAGTCACAGTGTCGTAACTTGATGAAGAGCCTTCTCCTGTGGTTCTTGTGTAGGAGGTACTTGGTTCTTCAGGACTGCTCACTGGAGTGGAGTGCTTCATTCTAGAAAGCCCTTGCAACTTTCCAACATGAGTTCCTGGTGAAGAAGCAGCAGAAAAGAACGGTGTTTGGAGTTCATCTTGGCACGCTAGATTGAGCCTCAGGACTTTAGGCTGAGATCCGTTCATCACCACGATGTTGCATCCAAGTTCTTCCATGCAATGCTTCCGCTCTTGCTTCAATTTTCTGTTAAAGGAGAACAATCTAGGGTGCTTAGCCACCCATTTGAATCTCACTCATAACGAAGAAACATAACTGGCACTTGGATATAAAAAGGCAACATGCTTTACTAGTTTAGGATAGCAGTAGATGTGTGAAACTGTGAGGGATGCAATCGACCCGTAAAGCATGCACCTAAATCAATAGCTCGGAAATAAGAAATAATACTTTTTGTATGTTTAATTACTTGTCCAGTACGACCCAGTTGGCTCCATTGCATCTTGCTTCAGCCGCCACAGCACCACCTGGTGTACTTAAAACTACCTTAATCCTCACTGTTACCTGCAATATATGATCATAACTAGTTTCATTAAAGAACTAGTCGGAAGGTGAAGCTCATAGACTGAGTGAGTTAAAAATTAAGCAGGATCAAATATCACTGTAATTTATTAAAGGTTTTTTCCTTCTTCTAAAGCATTATTCAGCAGATACATTCTTTTAGTGGATTTACACCAGTGCAGTGAATACAACGGATCGATCTGTTCCGAATTATACACTGGGAGAACCAAGTTGATTAGAAATCGAGAGAAAGAAAAGGCAAAAAACAGAAAACAAAAACTAAACCAGGGAATAAAAAACAAAGAAGGTGCAAACAAATTCAAATGATAATAATCCCCTTTCATAGCTCACATCATACAGAAGATACGATTCCGGGAATCCGATTGATCATTTTTTACAAAGTTAATTCTCACTCCACGACATGTTCTAAGCACATAGAACATAGCATGTGCCACTCAAATGATTAACTTACAACTTGTTTGTGCCTAAAAACAAATCTAGAATCTATTAAATTCTGATAAGCCAATGATGAATGAAAAGAACCTTCTTCACCATAGATTGTTGCTTTTATCAAAATGCATAAAAATAAATAAATAAATTATAAAGGAACTAATTTGTGCATTATTGAAGATGAATTAAAAATAAATAAATAAATTATAAAGGAACTAGTTTTGAATTAATAAATAAAGAGCAGACAACTGTAGCATACATCATTAAAATGTCCAGTTGTGTACTACTAAAAACAAAAGCAAGAAAAAGCATACACAGCAAAGCAAGTACGACAAGTTCCAACGGCAACGTCCACGTGGTCCTATCTTAAGCGCCAAGCAGGCAACCTAACTACGTGGTCTTTGTCGCAAAAGGTTGAAATTTTTGAATTCCGAATGGAAAAACGAGTAAACTGACGAGAAAGGACTAAATAGAGAAAGGCGGTAAGTGGCATAAACGTAAATTCAGCTAGAAATGACGAATCACCTGGATTTGGCTGTGAAACTGAAGCACCATCTGCGAACAAGACTCCGAGATCTGGCAAATCCGATCCGGCAAATCCTCCCGACGACTGCTACCGCAATCTCCGGTGAATCTCGGAAAGTTCCAGAATTTGTTACCTGCCCGCACTCAATTTCACGCACAAATTCCACATTAGCAACACAAATTGAACTCGCAAGTTTAAGCTTCAATTTTCTTTTCTTTCTTTTTTCAGAAAAGAAGAAGATTTAATTAGAAATTGAATTACCGGTTTTAACGGCGGAGAAAACAGCGAGCAAGGTTACGCAGTCGTCCGGGTGAACGACGTGAGTGAGAGCCCAGGCCAATGCCGTTTTTGAGATCACCTTCTCTGCTTTGACCGCCACTATGACTTTATCAGCACCTCCCATCCTGCTGTTGGTGCCGCCTTCCCCAACCATGAATTAATTGGTTCCAGAAGGAAAATTGAATTGAATTGCGGAGACTGAGAGTCTTGAAATTGTGGAAACTGTCAAGTGGAGTTGGGCTCAGTGCGTTCCTTAGGACTTAGGAGGAGGAAGAGGATCATATTGACAAGAAGCTACTACTGCTAAGCTGACCATGGTTAACTGACCCCGGTTAGGCCAGGAAAAATTAATAAAGTTATTCTTTATCAATTAACAAATTGGTATTAAAAATAATTAAATCGTTTTCATATTGATTTCAGATGTGATTGGAATTATTAATGAGTTGTTAATTTTTTCAACACTAAATAGTTACATAAAAAACTTCCCCATTAATCGTAAGGAGCATGGGGATAGATAGCAAACTACAAATCAGAATTAAAACCTTGACCTTAATTGGGACACCGGAGTGACATTGTTGTCGGGTTAAGATCTTGGGGTGAGGACCACCAATTATGGAACCTCATTGTAGAAAATGTTACACAAAGCACATGTGATGGTAGTAATTACATGAATGAGAAATCTCATGCCATAATTTATGAATACAATCTTTTTCGTTTCACAAAAGAAAAAAGAAGAGCAGCAGTGTTATTGTACAATTCTCTAATTCAAGGAAGTCCAATATTTTGTATAAAAATTTGGGCTCTAATTTAAAATAAAGAAAAAAGAAGAGCAGCAGTGCTATTTGGGCTTGATTCTCCACCTGATCACCTAAGAGACCAACGATAAATTAGGATAGCAACGTTGAGAGTAAATACATCATTAATTAAATAATAATCCTGGTTTTATAATTTTATCCATAAAGTTGAGAAGGCAAACGAGGTTTGATGAGAACTTGAAGAGGGGTCGCCTTGATGTTTGTCAGTCCTGAGCTCTCAGTCATATCAATCGGTGCACTCGAGGGGTTGGAGATTTCAAACGCATGCACAAAACTAGCCAACGTCAATCGCACCATTTGAAGGCCAAATGCCAAGCCAGGGCATGCTCTTCTCCCACTTCCAAATGGAATTAACTCAAAGTGCAATCCCTTAACATCAACATCCTTGTGGGTCGTTAGAAACCTCTCCGGCTTGAATTCGAATGGGTCGGGCCATATTCTCGGGTCGGTTTGGATCTTCCAAAGGTTCGTGATCAACCGGGTGCCCTTCGAGACATGGTAGCCCCCTATGGTGCAGTCCTCGGCAGTGGCGGATCCACGTTGGGACAAGAGGGGTCGGACGACCCCTTGGAATGCTGGAAAGTTGGCAAGGGACTCCATTGAAGCCCCCTTGGATAGCTGCTGGAAGCCCCCTTGGATGCACGCCAACTGCTCGACGAAAGTCCCAGGAGGAGGAGAAGCTTGCTGCGCAGCTGCACTGCGCCTTGCGCGCGCGCTGTGTGTGTTTTTTTTTAAAACAGCCTTGCCAAACGACGTCGTTTGGTCCAAGGCTCAGTCAATTTTTTTTAAATGACCTGGCCTCAAAACGACGTCGTTTTGGGCCAGGTTTAAAAAATAAAAAAAACCAGAACAAAACACAGGAGTTTATATTACTCCATTTACTTAAGTTTACAATGTAAATAAGGAAGTACCCCCCATTTGGTTTCAAATAAAAATACTAGAAAATCAAATTCTCACCAAATCAAAATATGAAAATTCGGTTTTAGTGTAAAATACGATTTATGCTAAAAATGATGGCTCATTAAGTCAATATATACTTCATAATAAAATCCCATAAAATCAAGTTTTCTTATTTGATGTGTAAGGAATAAAAGCCGCCAAAAATTATCTTGAGAAAATGATTATTCCGAAAAACCATTTTTCATACTTAGTCAATATTGCACCTCCGCTAAAAATTTTTTTGGTCCCCCAATGCTTCCCTCTCAAATCCTAACCTCTCCCAACCTCCTAACCTCCGACAACCTCCATCAACTCTTCGCCGGTGGCCCATTGGCGATCACCACCACCATCTTGTGCCGCCCTTTTTTTTCAAGTACAAGTAAGCAGGTCAAATTTTAAATTAATAAATTTATAGTGATAATATATTGATATTGATATTTTTTTTTTTTTTGTAATGAAATCTATGGATATGAATCATATTGATGGATAATTTAGATTGATTGCGTTTATGCTTGATTGTTGATTGAGTATATTAAATATTGAATGATATTTGATATGATAATTTGGTATATTGAATATTGATTTATATGGGTGAATATTGAGAGTAGGTTATTGACATTTTCATATTCATATGATAATTTGGATAAAAATTAATGATTGATTCAATTAATTGATTTGTAGAATTATGGAATGATTCTATAAAAGAAAATTATCTACGGATAGTCCTTCTTCGTCTAATCCGGATAGTTCAAATGCAACAAGACCAATTGAAGTAGATGAGATATTAGCTAATCTTTAGGCAAATCCTGGACTAAGACCTCGAATGACGGATTATAGTCCTAATATTCGGGATGAGATCCGAAGAGCATATCTACAAAAGGGACCTTGTCAACCTAGAAGTTATAAATTCCCACAAACTAATCAATCAGGATTTAATAGACGTTTCATTGCTCAATGGTTTGATGAGTATGATTGGTTGGAATATAGTATAGCTACTGAGGTAGAGGAAAAATTTCGAATGACGGATTAATAGGCTTTTTTAGCATTATTTTCTTTGTAAAAAAATTTCGGAACTTTTACACTAAGCCCCCTTGGCCACAGAATCCTGGATCCGCCACTGGTCCTCGGTGAACTCACGTGGTGCAGATAATGGTGCTGCTGGGTACAAACGCAGCGTTTCTTTCACTATGGCTTGGAGGTAGACTAGCTTGCTTATATCTGACTCACTCACAACTCTGTCTGCCTATTTCAGTGTCCAGTTCATTCTGGGCTCTTTTAAGCACGTGCGGGTTGTTCAATAATAGTGATATTGCCCATGTTAATGTGACCATGGTCGTATCGCTACCTCCTGCAATCATATTCTGCAAAAGTACAATTTATTTTATTAATTATTTATATTAAGCTAAAGTATATAGATTAAGCTAGGCATATGTTTGATTACCAAGCTTGTGGCTTTGTTGACTGTGTCAGCATCAAAACCGCCAAGGTCTGCACCATCAAGCACAGAAAGCATGGCGTCTATGAAGTCTGGTTCCCCTTTAGCATCACCTCTTGCCCTCCTTCTCTTGTGCTCTTCAACCCACCCTCCAACGATGGCGTCCAGTTCTTTCGCAATCTTCTTCATCGCCTTCTCATGCCCACCCAAGTCCAACCACCGAAGATAAGGCACCACATCACCCACCACAAACACCCCCACATAGTAAAAAAAACACCTTCAATGCACTCTGAACCCTACGTGCTTCTTTCTTCTCAACCTCATCGGCAGCAAACGAATAACGCTTTCCGGCCACCATTCTAAGAATCACGTTCAAAGTCATTGTTGTGAAAAATAATAGTTTTCTGTAAAGCCAAATACAAAATATTTATATTATGAATAACATATAAACAAATTGAAAAACTTTGAAGGTATAATGAAATTGAAGAAAACAAAATAATAGGGAAATAAAAGGAAAATAAGTAATAGGTAAGAAGGTGAGTTTGGTACGGTGAAGCACGTCAAAGACGTTGTCCTAAAGCCTTTGTAGCCTCCTTACGTGCAGGTACTGACGGTCTACAAGACTCCAAGATATGACCTCTTGTACACAAACTCAAGATCCGCTATGAGCACGTTCATAGACAGATATAGGTATCCAAGTCACATAACCATTGCCCAAAATAATAATAATATAAAGTAAAGAATATATGTAAAAGTAGAAAATGAAAGAATTAGTTTGTGGTGGTGATTGTGGTATGTGATATTCTGATAGTGTATTGTGTTTCTTGTGTGTATATCAAATGTGAAGGAGGAGTGACCTTTTATAGGCATCCAAAACATGTAACCTTCACCAACCATAAAAGTTCACCAACCAAAAAATTAAGCCTGAATATTAAATATTTATAACCCCCACAATAAATAAAATAAAAAAGCCAAAATAATTAAATAAATAAAACGGTTAAATTTTTAAAACCTTTTAAAATTCCAACAATCCCCCACAAGGTTTTCAAAATTTTACCATGACGAAAAAACAGTGAAAAATATATATAATATATACGGAAACATTTATATTATAAATAACATATAAACAAATTGGAAAGCTTTGAAGGTATAATAAAATTGAAGAAAACAAAATAATAGGGAAATAAAAGGAAAATAAATAATAGGTAAGAAGGTGAGTTTGGTACGGTGAAGCATGTCAAAGACGCTGTTCTAAAGCCTTTGTACGTTACATTTGTTTTCTTCCCGTACTGCTATTGCTTTAATATCTTTTAACTCTTTGACTGAAGCTTTTGCATTTGTATTGGATTTGCAAATTGAAAATCACGATTTGTTTTGGTTGGATGTAGTTTAAAGCTTTCATGTTGTCTATTGAATTTCAGTTGCTTTAAATATTGTTGGTACATTTATATTTTATAATTTTTTGTTGCTAACGTTTGGGAAATTACTGCTAGTGTTTGAAAATAAAAAACCTACAAACTAATTTATGTGGCATTATTATTATAGCTTAACGTTTTGGAAGAGATTTAAATCTTTAATTGCTAATATAATATATATATATATATATATATATTGAAGTGACCTACGTTTTTCTAAGTTACTGTTTGTTTTAAATAGCTTGTATTGTTTCATTACCGATTACTTAATTATTACTCATTAATCAATTTACAGTGCAATATCCAATGTTGAATGGTTGAAGTGTTTAAAACCGAAACGTCGAAGTGTTTCAAAATCTTTGGTCTATTTTTTATTTTAATTGAAATTTCAAAGCAAGTATGTATATTTGATTTTATTGTGTTGCGCCTTTGTACCTTTGCCTTCATTCATTTTGGTTGCCATCAGTCTTCCTTTATAATCATTTTTTTAAATATCGTTTTATTGTTCTCAATTGCCAAAAAGGTCTGCTTTACTTTTGGAAATCCTTCATATCAACGTGAGAAGCAATTATAATATATTCTTGGCCGTAAAGTTTATTGTTTGCAATTATAGTTTTTTAATGTTGGGTTTCTATGCAGTATCTTTATAATTTTTTTTTGCGAAAACGTGCAGAGAGTTTATGTGATATTATTGCAACTTTTATTGAGCCTAATTATTCTTTATTTTGCTGGCTGTCATTGCTTTAAATTTGGGAGAAAAACGAACCGTTTTTTTTATAGTATAAATGCATTAGCCAGTTGGTTGATACATCAATGTTGAGAATTAGAATTTTTACATTTATGGAGAAATTAATTTAAACAATTCTATTTTGTGCACTTGTCCATATATATAATATCTATTTTATTTTATTTTATGTATTTAGTGGTCTTACTATTATATTTACAAAGGCTTTAGATTGTTGTGAAAAATAATAGTTTCCCTCTTTCCGTAAAGTCAAATACAAAAAAATTTATATTATAAATAACATATAAACAAATTGGAAAGCTTTGAAGGTATAATAAAATTGAAGAAAACAAAATAATAGGGAAATAAAAGGAAAATAAATAATAGGTAAGAAGGTGAGTTTGGTACGGTGAAGCACGTCAAAGACGCTGTCCTAAAGCCTTTGTAGCCTCCCTACGTGCAAGTATTGACGGTCTACAAGACTCCAAGATACGACCCCTTGTACACAAACTCAAGATCTGCTATGAGCACGTTCATAGACAGATATAAGTATCCAAGTCACATAACCATTGCCCAAAATAATAATAATATAAAGTAAAGGATATATGCAAAAGTAGAAAAGGAAAGAATTAGTTTGTGGTGGTGATTGTGGTATGTGATATTCTGATAGTGTATTGTGTGCTTCTGTGTGTGTATCAAATGTGAAGGAGGAGTGGCCTTTTATAAGCATCCAAAACATGTAACCTTTACCAACCATAAAAGTTCACCAACCAAAAAATTAAGGCATTCACCAACCAGAAATAAAGCCTGAATATTAAATATTCATAACCCCCACAATAAAAAAAATAAAACAACCAAAATAATTAAATAAATAAAATGGTTAAATTTTTAAAACCTTTTAAAATTCCAACAGTCATGTCCCCAAACCACTGCTTCAACTCCACCAAAACTCCGTCGCTATTATTGCTCTCCCTTTTCTCCTCGGTGCTCCAAGTTTTGTACAATTCTTGCAAGAAAGTTGTCACTTCAGAGACTCGAATGCGTCTGAGCAGCTCAAGCCTTCAGTTAGAGAGCAGCTCCAAGGTGGTAATCATGACTGGAAAATACCATCGGTAGGTTATGAGCATTCGGCACCCTGGCTTGCTAATCATGACTGGAAACCACGCTCCATTGGAGATTTCTGACAAGGACACATGGTTCCTCCTCAGGTGATGCCCACAGTCTCACATTGAAATCTCACTCGAGATGCATATCTCCCAAAATCTATAAAAATAGGAACAAGTCCCCAAAACAGGGTAACTGAGACATTTGGCTACTTAGCCATAAATTTGTCTAGATCACTATTACAACCAAAGAGCACATAGAGCCAAAGGCAACATCATCACTAAATTGGGCCAAAAAATGTCCAACCAGTTTTAAGCATCAACATATGACATGTTCCTTATTTTGATCATGTCAAAAGTAGAGGAATTTATAAACTGGAACTATTTATTTTAATACATTTAGAACATATATGCATATGTGCATTCTATAATATCACAACATTTGTTACCACATATAGCTAAATTCTCACTCTCAACTATTAAATTATAAAAATTAGGAGACAAGCATGGTTTGATGAGGACATGAAGAGGGGTCAGTTTCATGGTCGTAAGTCCAATACTTCTAGTCATATCAACTGGTGTGTTTTCTTAAGTCATGACATCAAACGAATGAAGAAAACTAGCCAAAGTTAAAAGTGTCATATGAAGGCCAAAACTTATCCCAGGGCGTGCTCTTCTACCACTGCCAAACGGCATCAGCTCAAATTGCTGACCCCGAACATCAACATCCTTCTGGGTAGTGATAAATCTCTCTGACTTGAACTCCATCGGGTCAGTCCAAACCCGTGGGTCAGTTTGGATCTTCCACAGGTTCACTAGTGATAAGTGCATTATTTCATATATTTTTATACATCTTATATTTGGTTTTTTAGAGAAAGTTAATTAAAAAGAGCATTATTACCTTACTCTTTCCACGTGTCATGACGTGAGTGGCTAGTCAAATATGGTACAAACAAACACAGAGGAAGCACATCATAATCATAGGGTACAAGCCATACAAGGCTCTAATACCATGTGTTTATACCCAGTTTTGGTAAATGGACCAAAAATGGTCTAATGGGTTAAAAGAATATTTTAAAGCTAAATCCAGGGTCATTAACATTTGTTTTTTTCTTAAAAAGTCATCCATGTCCTAATGGGCTTTTTGGAATAAATCGGCCCAAACTGTGAAGGATCAGATCCTTATCTCGCACTAAAGGTTAAGAAACGTTAAATTTGTTTCCTAGGCCCACATGAGAGGCTGAAGGGGATTATCACATTTAATGACGACTTGACATTCTTCTCTCCCAGCAAGAAAACAAGTCGTACAAAAGACACCAAAACCAAAGGATGATCAAATTGCTAGCCAGGTCTTCAAGTACAAAGGGTCAAGTCAAGAGAGCTTCACAAAGAAAACTAACAGTTCCTGACAGAAGCCTTCCATCATTCTCTCTATGAACCGGTTAAAGCCAGCAAACCAGCAGCTGACCTTGAACCACAAGCCAAAGGTCTTGTCACAGTTTCTATCATTACAAGCTCCTTCTTCCTCTATAAATAAAGAAGGTCTCCTTCAGAAGAAGATGACTCTATCTCCAAAATCAGACGCAACGTCTCAAAAAACACTTGAAAACTCTTAAGATAGCAATCTGCCTACTTTATTTAGATAACCAGTCGACAACTCCTGTGTTTATCTCTCGTAGCTCTGCCATATTCATGGTATGATTTTCTTTTAAAAGTAATATGTTTCAATTCTTGTAATCACTTAACTAGATTGAGAAATCTCCAGTCTCTCTTTCCTTGCTTTGTAATTCGGATTTAAAGATAATTGATGGATTAGTTGAAGAAGATTATGTTATTTAATCTAGTTTACACTTAGACTGAGTATAAGTTGCAAAAAAATCGTCTTAAATGAATCCACTTAATTAACTAAAAATGAATTATGGACCATTTTAGTACATAAAATTGAATTCCCGCCTTCGTCCCTTTATAAAAGTCCACAAAACCAACATTCGGGCCCAAATGAAACATTAATAATAGGATGGATAGGAAGTTGAGTTGGGCCCAAATTTTACCCCTGGGCCCGAATTAACTATTAATCCAGCCTGAGGACAATATAGATATTGAAACTGGTTGATAAAACCCAGATAGGGTCTTACTAACCACGATCTTGGTTTCTCTATCTTACTTGTTCAGGTATCGCCCATACTTATCAGGTTGACATTCGCGAAGGAAAGAATATTGAAGTCCTCTTAACTGAGGCATAGAAAAGAATCAATTCAGGCCAGTACCCCCCTTGGAGCACAATGGCTTGAGAAGAAGTCCAGAAAAAGACGCGCAAGTTCTATCAGAATTAACCATTCATAAGCATCCATACCAGGTCTATTGGGCTGGTCTTATACCCAATAGTGGCACACCTACGCAACACCACGAATCAAAGTTGAGAAAAGTTGATAGATAGGGCCTCAACTGGGCCCGCTCGCTTTTGGCAAACTAATTCAACTTTCAATTTTGTTCAGAAATTGAAGGAGTCCTCTTTGTGAGCCAAGAGACACCATCTAATCGGGGTATTGATGTTGATCTAACTAAACCTCTCCGTTCCTCCGAGCAAAGCTGACCCTTGTGGGAGGCGAAAAGGAACGATGGATGAAAAAATGGACCAACACCATGCTAATGATTGAGGAAGAATTGAGAAGAAGAAGAATTGAGAAATCAGCGAGAGAAAATGAGAATATTATATGAGAGTTATTTTCTGATTAACAAATATTACAGTACCAAGAGACCTTTATACTTTGGGCTTCGCTTCAAACTAGCACTCATGATTAACACAACAGTCTTGACACCTCAGCAACCTTGCTATTAGCCAAACAAATAATTAAATAAAAATCATTGTTTATCATTTTATCCATAAAGTTGAGAGGGCAAACGAGGTTTGATGAGAACTTGAAGAGGGGTAGCCTTGACGTTTGTCAGTCCAAAGCTCTCAGTCATATCAATCGGTGCACTCGAGGGGTTGGAGATTTCAAACGCATGCACAAAACTAGCCAACGCAAATTGCACCATTTGAAGGCCAAATGCCAAGCCAGCGCATGCTCTTCTCCCACTTCCAAATGGAATTAACTCAAAGTGCAATCCCTTAATATCAACATCCCTGTGGGTGGTCAGAAACCTCTCTGGCTTGAATTCCAATGGATCGGGCCATATTCTAGGGTCGGTTTGGATCTTCCAAAGGTTCGTGATCAACCGGGTGCCCTTTGAGACATGGTAGCCGCCTATGGTGCAGTCCTCGGTGAACTCTCGTGGTCCAGATAATGGTGCTGCTGGGTACAAACGCAGCGTCTCTTTCACTATGGATTGGATGTAGATCAGCTTGCTTATATCTGACTCACTCACAACTCTCTGTCTGCCTATTTCAGTGTCCAGTTCATTTTGGGCTCTTTTAAGCACGTGAGGGTTGTTCAATAATAGTGATATTGCCCATGTTAATGTGACCATGGTGGTTTCGCTACCTCCTGAAATCATAGTCTGCAAAAGTACAATTTATTTTATTAATTATTTATATAAAGCTAAATTATATAGATTAAGCTAGGCATATGTTTGATTACCAAGCTTGTGGCTTTGTTGACTGTGTCAGCATCAAAACCGCCAAGGTCTGCACCATCAAGCACAGAAAGCATGGCGTCTATGAAGTCTGGTTCCCCTTTAGCATCACCTCTTGCCCTCCTTCTCTTGTGCTCTTCAACCCACCCTCCAACGATGGCATCCAGTTCTTTCGCAATCTTCTTCATCGCCTTCTCATGCCCACCCAAGTCCAACCACCGAAGATAAGGCACCGCATCACCCACCACAAACAGCCCCAAATAATAAAAAAACTCCTTCAATGCACTCTGAACCCTACGTGCTTCTTTCTTCTCATCCTCATCGGCCGCAAACGAATAACCCTTTCCGGCCACCATTCTAAGAATCACGTTCAAGGCCAGGTCCCCAAACCACTGCTTCAACTCCACCAAAACTCTGTCACTATTATTGCTCTCCCTTCTCTCCGCGGTGCTCCAAGTTTTGTACAATTCTTGCAAGAAAGTTGTCACTTCAGAGACTCGAATGTGTCTGAGTAGCTCAAGCCTTCGGTTCGAGAGCAGCTCCAAGGTGGTAATCTTGCGCATCTCTCGCCAGAAGGGTCCGGAGGGTGCAAACCCAAACATGGCGTAGTTATAGCCAATGTGACCCACAGCCGCGATCTTTGGACGCGAGCTTACGGCCAAATCATTGGTTGTGAAGCATTCTTTTGCGATCTCACTGCTGCTTATCACCAGAGATGTATGGACGCCGAGGCGGATGGTGAAGAGAGGCCCGTACTTGTCAGCCATGGCTGCCAATTTGATGTGAGGAGGTGTGGATCCTCCTAGCAAGGGAAGGTGGCCAAATATCGGCCATGCACCCTTGGCTTCGGTTGGGGCTAATTTGGCAGGTCTCCATCTGCGTGAGAAGTAATAGGAAACGATGATTATTGTAAATAAAAAAGCAGTGATGGAGTTTACATAAGGGAGAGAATAATCCATTGAAACTAATTGGTAATTGGAAACTTAGAAAGCTAGAGAATGAAAGCCCTGTCACACATATTATATAGCCGCGTGATATCTATGCTCATATATATGGATACCACCTCATGAGGATATAACATAATATTATTTTTATAGATAAAATTCTACGCCAAGGAAGTAATGCATGGTATGGTGATGGAGGGTGGTGGGGCAGCCTCACATGAAAAACTATGTATCTACTTTGTTTGCTATTGCTACGAGACACAGACCATTGCTAAAAAATCGACATATTTATTTCCCGAACGTAACTTCTAGTAGTCTATTCCTTTCCAATTGTCCATCTCATTTTGTAGATTTATATCAAAAGGCTGGACCATCAAGTAAGATAAGATTATACACATGTATGATCTTTATACCATATATGGCCAGCCAATTAGAGAATGACATATGAAATTCGATCCACAAACAACCTATTAAATCTAAGCAACTTATTTCGTCCCACAAAATACCATCGGTAGGTTATGAGCATTCGGCACCCTGGCTTGCCAATCATGACTGGAAACCACGCTCCATTGGAGATTTTTGACAAGGACACATGGTTCCTCCTCAGGTGATGCCCACAGTCTCACATTGAAATCTCACTCGAGATGCATATCTCCCAAAATCTATAAAAATAGGAACAAGTCCCCAAAACAGGGTAACTGAGACATTTGGCTACTTAGCCATAAATTTGTCTAGATCACTATTACAGCCGAAGAGCACACAGAGCCAAAGGCGACATCATCACTAAATTGGGCCCAAAAATGTCCAACCAGTTTTAAGCATCAACATATGACATGTTCCTTATTTTGATCATGTCAAAAGTAGAGGAATTTATAAACTGGAACTATTTATTTTAATACATTTAGAACATATATGCATATGTGCATTTTATAATATCACAGCATTTGTTACCACATATAGCTAAATTCTCACTCTCAACTATTAAATTATAAAAATTAGGAGACAAGCATGGTTTGATGAGGACATGAAGAGGGGTCAGTTTCATGGTCGTAAGTCCAATACTTCTAGTCATATCAACTGGTGTGTTTTCTTAAGTCATGACATCAAACGAATGAAGAAAACTAGCCAAAGTTAAAAGTGTCATATGAAGGCCAAAACTTATCCCAGGGCGTGCTCTTCTACCACTGCCAAACGGCATCAGCTCAAATTGCTGACCCCGAACATCAACATCCTTATGGGTAGTGATAAATCTCTTTGACTTGAACTCCATTGGGTCAGTCCAAACCCGTGGGTCAGTTTGGATCTTCCACAGGTTCACTAGTGATAAGTGCATTATTTCATATATTTTTATACATCTTATATTTAGTTTTTGTAGGGAAAGTTAATTAAAAAGAGCATTATTACCTTACTCTTTCCACGTGTCATGACGTGAGTGGCTAGTCAAATATGGTACAAACAAACACAGAGGAAGCACATCATAATCATAGGGTACAAGCCATACAAGGCTCTAATACCATGTGTTTATACCCAGTTTTGGTAAATGGACCAAAAATGGTCTAATGGGTTAAAAGAATATTTTAAAGCTAAATCCAGGGTCATTAACATTTGTTTTTTTTCTTAAAAAGTCATCCATGTCCTAATGGGCTTTTTGGAATAAATCGGCCCAAACTGTGAAGGATCAGATCCTTATCTCGCACTAAAGGTTAAGAATCGTTAAATATGTTTCCTAGGCCCACGTGAGAGGCTGAAGGGGATTATCACATTTAATGACGACTTGACATTCTTCTCTCCCAGCAAGAAAACAAGTTGTACAAAAGCCACCAAAACCAGAGGATGATCAAATTGCTAGCAAGGTCTTCAAGTACAAAGGGTCAAGTCAAGAGAGCTTCACAAAGAAAACTAATAGTTCTTGACAGAAGCCTTCCATCATTCTCTCTATGAACCGGTTAAAGCCAGCAAACCAGCAGCTCTCCTTGAACCACAAGCCAAAGGTCTTATCGCAGTTTCCATCATTACAAGCTCCTTCTTCCTCTATAAATAAAGAAGGTCTCCTTCAGAAGAAGATGACTCTATCTCCAAAATCAGACGCAACGTCTCAAAAAACACTTGAAAACTCTTAAGATAGCAATCTGCCTACTCTATTTAGATAACCAGTCGACAACTCCTGTGTTTATCTCTCGTAGCTCTGCCATATTCATGGTATGATTTTCTTTTAAAAGTAATATGTTTCAATTCTTGTAATCACTTAACTAGATTGAGAAATCTCCAGTCTCTCTTTCCTTGCTTAATAATTCAGATTTAAAGATAATTGATGGATTAGTTGAAGAAGATTATGTTATTTAATCTAGTTTACACTTAGACTGGTATAAGTTGCAAAAAAATCGTCTTAAATGAATCCACTTAATTAATTAAAAATGAATTATGGACCATTTTAGTACATAAAATTGAATTCCCGCCTTCGTCCCTTTATAAAAGTCCACAGAACCAACATTCGGGCCCAAATGAAACATTAATAATAGGAGGGATAGGAAGTTGAGTTGGGCCCAAATTTTACCCCTGGGCCCGAATTAACTATTAATCCAGCCTGAGGACGATATAGATATTGAAACTGGTTGATAAAACCCAGATAGGGTCTTACTAACCACGATCTTGGTTTCTCTATCTTACTTGTTCAGGTATTGCCCATACTTATCAGGTTGACATTCGCGAAGGAAAGAATATTGAAGTCCTCTTAACTGAGGCATAGAAAAGAATCAATTTAGGCCAGTACCCCCCTTGGAGCACAATGGCTTGAGAAGAAATCCAGAAAAAGACGCGCAAGTTCCATCAGAATTAACCATTCATAAGCATCCATACCAGGTCTATTGGGCTGGTCTTATACCCAATAGTGGCACACCTACGCAACACCACGAATCAAAGTTGAGAAAAGTTGACAGATAGGGCCTCGACTGGGCCCGCTCGCTTTTGGCAAACTAATTCAACTTTCAATTTTGTTCAGAAATTGAAGGAGTCCTCTTTGTGAGCCAAGAGACACCATCTAATCGGGGTATTGGTGTTGATCTAACTAAACCTCTCCGTTCCTCCGAGCAAAGCTGACCCTTGCGGGAGGCGAAAAGGAACGACGGATGAAAAAAAAGACCAACATCATGCTAATGATTGAGGAAGAATTGAGAAGAAGAAGAATTGAGAAATCAGAGAGAGAAAATGAGAATATTATATGAGAGTTATTTTCTGATTAACAAATATTACAGTACCAAGAGACCTTTATACTTTGGGCTTCGCTTCAAACTAGCACTCATGATTAACACAACAGTCTTGACACCTCAGCAACCTTGCTATTAGCCAAACAAATAATTAAATAAAAATCATTGTTTATCATTTTATCCATAAAGTTGAGAGGGCAAACGAGGTTTGATGAGAACTTGAAGAGGGGTAGCCTTGACGTTTGTCAGTCCAAAGCTCTCAGTCATATCAATCGGTGCACTCGAGGGGTTGGAGATTTCAAACGCATGCACAAAACTAGCCAACGCAAATTGCACCATTTGAAGGCCAAATGCCAAGCCAGCGCATGCTCTTCTCCCACTTCCAAATGGAATTAACTCAAAGTGCAATCCCTTAATATCAACATCCCTGTGGGTGGTCAGAAACCTCTCTGGCTTGAATTCCAATGGATCGGGCCATATTCTAGGGTCGGTTTGGATCTTCCAAAGGTTCGTGATCAACCGGGTGCCCTTTGAGACATGGTAGCCGCCTATGGTGCAGTCCTCGGTGAACTCTCGTGGTCCAGATAATGGTGCTGCTGGGTACAAACGCAGCGTCTCTTTCACTATGGATTGGATGTAGATCAGCTTGCTTATATCTGACTCACTCACAACTCTCTGTCTGCCTATTTCAGTGTCCAGTTCATTTTGGGCTCTTTTAAGCACGTGAGGGTTGTTCAATAATAGTGATATTGCCCATGTTAATGTGACCATGGTGGTTTCGCTACCTCCTGAAATCATAGTCTGCAAAAGTACAATTTATTTTATTAATTATTTATATAAAGCTAAATTATATAGATTAAGCTAGGCATATGTTTGATTACCAAGCTTGTGGCTTTGTTGACTGTGTCAGCATCAAAACCGCCAAGGTCTGCACCATCAAGCACAGAAAGCATGGCGTCTATGAAGTCTGGTTCCCCTTTAGCATCACCTCTTGCCCTCCTTCTCTTGTGCTCTTCAACCCACCCTCCAACGATGGCATCCAGTTCTTTCGCAATCTTCTTCATCGCCTTCTCATGCCCACCCAAGTCCAACCACCGAAGATAAGGCACCGCATCACCCACCACAAACAACCCCAAATAATAAAAAAACTCCTTCAATGCACTCTGAACCCTACGTGCTTCTTTCTTCTCATCCTCATCGGCCGCAAACGAATAACCCTTTCCGGCCACCATTCTAAGAATCACGTTCAAGGCC